CACATAGTCTTCCTGTTTGCTGCTGTGCACCCCCAGGCTATCTTGCCTACCGGCTCCTGTGAGTTTCCCTTTCTCTGCCTCCTGTCTCACTGTAGGGACACTGGGTTCACAGGCAGGTGGTACTGTGTCTGCTTTAAGAAGACTCTGGACTCAAGTCCTCATTCTTGATGACAAGCACCTTACCACCTGAACTAGCGCCCCAGCCTCTACATCACTTTCCTTTCTTCATTCATTTGCTTGTTTAATTCTCCATGACATCCCTGAACGTTTTAAAACGTGGAATTTTGAATCATCTGTCTGGGACTTCAGTGATTTGTTAGTTTTGTTTCAGGCATTTAGGAACCGTAAGCCTTTGAAGGTGTCGTTACTCGATCTGCACGTCTGTTTGGGTAGATGCATCTTTCATGGTTTTCCCCATCTTTTGGTCATTTTTTTTTTTCATGTGGATCTTCTCACTGAGTAGATTTCTCTTGAGCTTGTGATCGCTACCATTTAGAGGGAAGAAGTGAAGAGCAATAACAAAAGCAATGATTTGTCAACAATGAGGTAGTAGAGTAAAAAGCCATTGGGCACCCCATTTACATTCCCAATAAGGGTAGAAAGTGAAAGAGCTATTGATAGGATCACGTAGGTATTTAAAGATGATTAAGATTAGAGATATTAGTCATTAGGAAGTGAAAATAAGAGGAAGTGAAGTAGGAATAAGAAATAAGGCACATAGGTTTAAGCTTTGGGAAATAAGAGAGAATGGGATAGAATAGGTGCCAATAAAGAGTAGTTATAAATCTTAATCAAGTGACATCAAAACTGAAACAAAAAATAGCAAAGCAAAAAAATCAAAACAGTATACTAGTGGTCGATACTTTTCCTTGCTGGGCTGCATGTGGACTCCCCTCCCCCTAGGTCGTCTTTGAAGATTGCACTGCTGGTGGGAAAGCAGCTGTTACCTGTCTGCTGCTCAAGCAGCTGGAGTGGAATGGCTGTATACAGTGTGCTTTCGGTGTCTCTTCCCCACTCCATTGAATTCCTGTGTGGACATGACTTGAAAGCTGTTCCCTGATGCTTGAAATGAGCATGTCCGGCCCTCAGCATGAAGTGTCCTCCTGGCTGCTGTCCTTCCTCTTTGCTATGCTGGTTGGTCACATGTTCCACTCTATACTTCAGTGTCTACGATAGGGGCACACACATGCTTGTATTTTCTTTTGCAGTTGGACAGTCTTCTGTTTCCAGAGTTTAGGATACTTTTCTGCCAGTGTCCGCAGGCGGCACAAGTTTGTGTTCAACTCAGCGCTGTTTCCTTGTTCACAGACGTTTAAGGGCAGTCAGACGCTTAGTGGAGGGAGTGGGCTTTTGGATTAGGAGGTGTAATGGTGCTGAATAGTCTGATTGCCCTGGAGGAGCAGCTTGCTTGTAGTGCTCTAGTTCCCTTTCTGTGGCCGTAGTAAAAATATCCAGGACAGCCCAGAGCCCCAGGATAGAACCAAACACAACTGGTTAAAAAAAAAAAAGTCAATGAAGTGATTAGTAGTGATATTCGGCTATACTCATAGGTGGGTGCCTAGCCCAAATGTCACCAGAGAGGCATCATCCAGCAATTGATGGGAGCAGATACAGAAAACCACAGCCAAACGCTAGGTGGAGCCAGGGGAACCCCACAGAAGACGGGGAGGAAGGATTGTAGGAGCCAGAGGTCAAAGATACCATGAGAATACTGCCCACAGAATCGACTAAGCAGGGCTCATAGGAGCTCACAGGGACTGAGGTGGCAAACATGGACCCTGTACGGGTCTGAACTAGCTCCTCTGCATATATGTTACAGTTGTGTAGCTTGGTGTTCTTGTGGGACTCCCAACAGTGGGAGCGGAGGGTGTTTCTGACTCTTTTGCCTGTTTGGGGGACCCTTTTCTTCCTGTGGGATTGCCTAGTCCAGGCTTGATAGGAAGGTTTGTGACTAGTCTTATTGTAACTTGTTATGTAACATGTTTGGTGGATACCCCTGGGAGGTCTGTGCTCTCTCTCTCTCTCTCTCTCTCTCTCTCTCTCTCTCTCTCTCTCTCTCTCCCTCTCCCTCTCTCTCTCTCTGAAGGGAAATGGAAGAAGAATGGATCTGGGGGAGAAGCGAGATAGGAGAGGGACTGGGAGAAGTGGGAGGAAGGGAAACTGTGGTCAGGATGCAATGTATGAGAGAAGAATAAAAAGATAATACCTTGACAAAAAACAACTTAAGGGAACAAGAAGTTTATTTCAGCTTACAATTCTAGGTTACAGTCTGTCGTTGTGGGGAAGTCAAGACAGGAGCCTCAGACAGTCAGTCCCCTCACATCCACAGTCAAGAGCAGAGAGAAATGAATGCATGCATGCTCGCTTGCTTGCTTCTTTGTATTCTCCTTGGTCTCTACCCTGCTGCACAGTTCAGGTTCTCCTGCTAAGGGAATGATCCCACCATGAGCTGGCTCTTCTTCTATCACTTCATTAAGAAAACCCCTACAGGCATGGCTACAGGCATGGCTACAGGCATGGCTACAGGCCAACATAATAACTTGTCCCGAGTTGAGACTGTCTTTTCAGATGATTCGAGGTTGTGTCAAATTAATAATTACAGCTAAGTATCATACAGAGTTTCTCTCAGAATCAGATTCTCCTCAGCCCCAGCCTATGAGGTAGAGAGGCACAGTGTTACCTTCTCCAGCATCTGCTCCTGCAGTACCTATGTTATTATTATGAATAATAATAATAATAATGTGTGAATCTTCTTTGGATGAATTCTGTTCTTATCCTAACAGAATTTGTCAACCTCTTTTTCAAAGAATTTTGCTACAGAATACAACATGGTATAGGAGTCCATAAATTCATAATTTGGGGAACTGCTCGTTAAACAAACTTAAATGTAGTTTTTGATTAGGGATCTTCTTTAAAGCACTATGATTAATTTTGAATATTTAAGGGATAATATGGCACGTAGCATTCATGAAACCTATTTGACCCTAATTCCTTCCAGATAGGCCAAAGGCTGATACCAGAGTTCCCTAATAACCTTGAAGAAACAGTAGTCTAAATCAGACTCCCAAATGTGGCTGACAAACATTTGCAATGTGGAAATGCAAGTAAGGAACTGAATCGTTAATTGCAGTTGTTTTTGGTTGATTTAAATTTAAGAAGCCACAGTGTCTGGTAGCTACTGTTTCACACAGCAGAGGTTTACACACCAACAAAGATGTTGGATGCTGCTGTGACAGCGAGTATTGCTTCCCACCTGTCCCTGGTGTGTGGATCTATAACTAAGACTATACATCTCTGATCTCGTCTGTACCTTTGCAATAATAGTGCCTCCCTCACAGACTTGCGTGAGCACTGAGATTGTGAAGGAATTTGGGCATTGTAAAGTGGCAAACAAATAGAAAGTATTCCTTAGTAGCTCCCTTGATCAGCAACACTATGCTGACCTCCAAAGAAGGATTTCAAAGACACTTAAAGTAATATATAAAAGGCATGGGAAGGCTGGGGAGAGGTCTCGGGTAGGAAAGTGCTTGCCATGCAAACACAAGAATGTGAGTTTGATCTCCACAACCTGGGTAAAAAGATGGGCATGGTGTTGTAATCCTAGAGCTGGGGAGACAGAGACAAATGGATCTCTGAGTGCTTGTGGCCAAATAGCCTAGCTGAATCAGAGTCCTGGGTTCCAGTGGGAGACCCTGTCTACAACACATCATAGATACTGCATGCACCTTCTTGCACACTTGGGTGCACACATGTGTACACACACACACACACACACATACACACACACACACACACACACACACACACACACACACACACACACACATCTCATAGGAAAACATTTAAGTTGAGGATGAATGGAAACAAGTGACCACCCAGAGCATGAAGCACAGTCCCCAAGAAGCTGATGCCGATGAATAATGGGAAGTTTGGCTCTCTAGAAGGCCAATGCTTAAAAAGGGAAACCCACTATAAAAGGAAATTCCTAAAGTCAGTAAGTTGAGAGGAGATTGTTGGCTCCGAAAAAAGGTTTTGATGCAAAGACAAGATTGTGTCCAGTTTCCTGGATCTTATTGAAGGAAATCAGTGAACTACCTAAAGAGCAGAGTCCTTCCCAGAGCCAGGGAAACCAATGTAGCGATGACCTGCAGCCATAGTTACTACATGTCACTTGGATCCTGATCCTAGGGATGTCTCCTGCCACTTGGACTAATGATGTACAAGTCGAGGTTTTGTGTGTGAACATGAATCTTTAATGCCACCTCTGTCAGAACTGTCAAGATGGTCAGCTCCACCTCTAAACACAGCACTTTTCACTGAGGTATAGTCTGAGTCTGATGGAGCCTTCAGTGAAGTATCCTTGGTTACCTGAGAACCTTCTAAATGTAAAAGCTGAAGGACAATATCCTTACAGATTATTAAGAAAAAAAAATAGTAAACTCCTTTCCAGTATTTTGATATTGGTTTATGCTGATTTCTCTATAATACTGATGTCTAATATTTGGATGCTTTATCCAAGGAATAAAATCCATTTCCAAATGTGCTTTCTAAGTTGGTAGCAGCCAGCTTGCTAGCCTTCTAGCTAACTAAATGGGACTAGGGACACAGGTGTGACATAAAAACGTGCTCTTGTGTTTATCTCGGGGCACAGCTGCTAACATATCAGAGCTATTGTGCTGGACAGCACTGAAGAACCGATCTCCCCTTCCAGTCACCAGACACGGCCATTAGGAAGAGCAGCTACCCCCCCCCCCCCCACAGCCAGCGCTTCCCTACCCCTTTCTACTCGAATGCAGTCACAGTATTTTTGACATTTTTACAATAAAGTCCTTATTGTCAGTGAAAACAACAGAAATTTGACAATGACGGAGTTTTAAGTCAATATCTGGGAAGAGACACTACATGAAAAGGGTTTTGAAAATATTAGCACATTGCACATGGCAAACTATTTCTTTTTATTTGTCTCCAAGGAATCTTATAGATGTTTCATTTTATAACAGAATATGGAAGATTGCCAAGTGGCTTCCAGCAAATTTGGCACGTCAGATTCAAGCCCAGTAATAAAACCAGGACCCAAAGCTAGTCAGGTACGATTTTCTTCCTTAGACCGTGTTATTTCTTTCCCCTGAACACTGGAGAAACATCTCCGGTTTATGCTTTTACTGTTTAGCTTTCTCCTAATGAATTCCATAGTTGGTAGGGCCGTGCCTACAGTCCTGACTTCGTTCATTAGTGTTTTCAGCAAACACTCAGTGAGTGTCCATGCACGCTGAAGTCTCGCTGGAGCGCCGAGCTAGACTTCACAACAAGCCCTGCTGGGTTCTGCATGGGAAGAGCTCGCAGTGGTCGGAAATCAATAGCAGTGCAAGTCAGTGCTGTCCACCCTGCCAAGCGCTGTAATAAAGGCTGGCAAAGGAGCTGTGGGGAGCAGAGCTGGGGATGAGTAGTGTTTCTGGGAAAAAGAAGCATTCCATCACAGAGGATGGCCTGGAGGGAGGTTAGGATTTCTCCAGACCAGATAACGTATTGAGGGAGTCACTCTTGAATAGACCAGAAAAGTATAAGCGTTATTGCAGATGTAATATGCCATGATGTGGCTGGGCACATTGGAGGCTGTAAACCCTTTTGGTTGGCATGCACGCCTCTGCTGGGTACCGCTTGAAGGCTTTGTGGTCTCCTTCCCTCTGATGTCCTTGCAGAGTCCCGTGGACACCATCACCATCCTGCGTCAGTTTCCATTTTCCTCGGGCCTGCAGAGGATGTCTGTGATTGCCCAGCTGGTTGGTGACCTCCACCTCCACGTCTACATGAAGGGCGCCCCAGAGATGGTGGCCAGGTTCTGCCGGTCTGAAACAGGTACTGACGTTTTTCTCTTTCGAGAGGTAAAACCTTTAAAAAGGCCAGACGCAGAAAATGGACTTCTGCACCACCACAGTAAAGCACAGGACGACGTAAACCGCCGCAGGCGGTAAAAAGGGCAGGTTGGTTAGGCGAAAGTGGCACAGGGGAGTCTGTGAGGCGGGGCGGGAGATTTGAAGGTGCAGAGGTAAACATCTGGCTTCCATACAGCCAGGAAAGTACAGCCACCGTGGGACGACACGGCGGATGTAGAGCAAAACCGTAGGAGGTACCTGGGCTGGATGACTAGAGCGGAAACCTGGGGTGAGATTTGAACACTTGACCAGATCTGAAGAATTCTCTCAACTCTAGGCAAGGGGAACAGGGCTGGCTCTGCTATTAGGAGCTGAGACAGAGCAATAGGAAGGAGATTGTGTGTGTGTGTGTGTGTGTGTGTGTGTGTGTGTGTGTGTGTGTGTATACGTATGTATGTCTGTGTATGTATGCCTGTGTATGTGTGTCTCTGTGTGTGTGCATGTATGTATATATGTATGTGTGTGTATGTGTGTGTATGTATGTGTGTATGTGTATGTATGCCTGTGTATGTGTGTCTCTGTGTGTGCATGTATGTATATATGTATGTGTGTGTATGTGTGTGTATGTATGTGTGTATGTGTATGTATGCCTGTGTATGTGTGTCTCTGTGTGTGCATGTATGTATATATGTATGTGTGTGTATGTGTGTGTATGTATGTGTGTATGTGTATGTATGCCTGTGTATGTGTGTCTCTGTGTGTGCATGTATGTATATATGTATGTGTGTGTATGTATGTGTGTATGTGTATGTATGCCTGTGTATGTGTGTGTTTATATATGTCTCTATGTGTCTCTGTGTGTGCATATGTGTGTGTATGAAAGAGGGGGGGAACTGTAGGAGTCATTTCTCTTCTTCCACATGTACCATGTAGGACCCAGAACTTGTATCTGGTCATCAAGCTTGGAATCTTGTATCTGTTGAGCCATCTCCCCATCCTGGAAAAATTCTTCAATAATTTTTTTCCTTTTATTGAAAATAGATGTTTCTTACAATATATTTTGATTATGATTACTCCCAGTTCCTCCCTGCCTCCCCTCCCATCCAGATCCATACCCTTTCTTTCTCTTGTTAGAAATGAACAGGAATCTAAGGAATAAAATAAAACAAAACAAAAACCAACCAGAACAGGATAAAACAAATGGAAAAAGCAAGAGAAGCACATATAGATGCAGAGACCCACATGTGCACACACACAGGAATCCCGTAGAAACACAGCACTGGAAGCCATAATATATATGCAAGGGACCTGAAGGTTAAAAAAAAAAAAAAAAGCCCTGACAACATTATGAGACAAGGAACCACCAAAGACACCACTGAGTTCATTTTGTGTTGGCATCTACTGCTGGGCCTGGGGCCTGCCCTTCAGAGTGCTTTGTTTCCTTAGAGAAACTCCTTTGTAGAAAACCAGTTTTTCACTTGCAAGTGGTTATCCATGGGACCTAGCTTCTTTAAGGATGGGGGCATGTGTCCACTTCTCCTTCCAGCTCTAGGGGCCCATCTGGTCCAGACCTGTGTAGTCCTGTGTGTACTGTCTCAGTCACCGTGTCCATCAGTTTTTCCATATCAGAAGACCTTGTTTCCTTGGTGTCCTCCATCCCCCTGGGCTCTTACACTTTTTACACCTCCTTTTCTGCAGAGGTTTCTGAATCCTGGGGGAGGGATTTAATGGAGACATCCCATTTAGGGCTGAGTGTTCCAAGGTCTCTCACTCTGCGCAGTATCTAGCTGTGTGTCTCTGTCTTTGTTCCCATCTGCTGCAGGAGGAAGCTTCTCTGACGGTGGCTGAGCAAGGCACTGATCTATGAGTATAGCAGAATGTTTGGAGTCATTGGGTTGCTGTATTCCTTTAGCAGAGCATCAGTATTTAGTTTCCTCCAGGTCCATGCCTGTCTAGTCTCAGGTTCTTGGCCACCCAAGCAGTGTTGAGAGTGGGTTCCATCTCCTGGAGTGGGCTTTAAATCAAATCAGATCTTAGTTGGAAATATTTTTAAAAGAAAAATATTTTAGGGGAAAATGATTAGACTAAATTAGATGGTATTAGATGGTTTTCCCAGCAATTTTTATCTTTCTGGTCCAGACTCTGAGATGAGCTGTGTTATTTAATATTCTCCTAAACATATGCACATTCTAAGTGGTGGCCAAATTTATAGAAAATTTGTGCATTCAAATAAATTCACTTGGATGAAACTGGCATTTTTCTCCTGTTTTTCATCTGCTTGTTGTGATTAGCCACCAACTGTGCCCAGAATTCTAGATTTCATGAAAGTTTATTCTAACTTCTACATTTAGAGTCTGTTTAGTTTAATCTCAGAAGTCTCCTTTTCCTTTTTTTTTTTTTTTTTTTTTTTTTTTTTTTTGTTTGTTTTTTTGAAACAGGATTTCTCTGTGTAGCTTTGGCTGTCCTGGAACTGGCTCTGTAGACCAGGCTGGCCTCGAACTCACAGAGATCCGCCTGGCTCTGCCTCCCAAGCGCTGGGATTAAAGATGCCCGGTAGAAGTCTCCCTTTCTAGGTCAAGGATGAAGGACTTGCTTAGCGTGCACAGGATCTGTGTCTGATTCCCAGAAAGGGAAAAAAAGACCTCCATTTCTGCTTTTGATCTTCATCCCATCAATCCCATTAACTATGTCTCAAACAGGTTATAAAGTGTATTAGGCTTTATTCGCTTCTGCTTTCAGCCATGTAGACTTCAGTGAGAATCTCCCCTGCTGCACTTGCTCTGTCAGGAAGAGTCCAGCCTCCAATCTGCCGTTCTTATCTCCACAACAGCCCATACAATTCTTCCTTTTGTCTTGACCTTTGGTCTTTCACCTCCCTCTTCTGTAAAGAAACATGGGGTTAGAAGCACCCTTGAGATTAGGTCCCTGTCTTTGGGGAACATTTTAGAAATACGCAAAGTCTGAGATACGTGGGAACTGAAGGTCCAGCCCTCGCTCACGTTGTAGGTGGAAACCAAGGTGCGGAGGAAGGAGAGGCTTTAATAGGTTGAAGTCAGAAAGTGAATTGGGTGTGGAATGGAGAACAAAACTTAGTTGCTTCACCAGCTAAGCGTCGTAAGTCAGCTCTCATCTGACACTCTCATATAGGCACATTAGACGCCACAAAGAATTTATAAGCACAAAAACATAGTTCCGCCAAGATGTGTAAGTGCTGATTTGTGTCAGCAGCCTTCTTCGGCAGGGATGCGGGCTGGGGCCATGGCTCAGTGGGTAGAGCCCTGGCTGGACAAGCTTACAAGACTTACTGGCCGAGTTTGGATCCCTAGAACTGATTTTAAAAGCCAGATCTGTAACATCTGTGTCTGTAACCTTGGTGAGCCTGGCTTGTGGATGTGGGTTTTGCTGCTGTGTCCTGGTGAGGAGAGAACATCTCCGTACCTTAATCCCACTCATGAAAGTTCACCTTCATGACTTAATTATTTTCCAAAGGCCCGTATACAAAGACAGCCATATTTGGGATTAGGGTTTTTTTTTTGTTTTTTTTTTAAGATTTTATTTATTTATCATGCATACAATGAGTGTTCAGCCTGCAGGCCAGAAGAGGGCACCAGATCTCATTACAGATGGTTGTGAGCCACCATGTGGTTGCTGGGAATTGAACGCAGGACCTCAGGAAGAGCAAGCAGTGCTCTTAACCTCTGAGCCATCTCTCCAGCCCGGGATTAGGTTTTAACATAGTTTGGGACACAGAATCAGGACATAGCCCAGCTGATGAACAGCACAACTTTACCACTTTTTTTTCCTCATCAGAGTAATGTGAAGCTGTTGGTGGCCTGTGTCTGAAGCTCCGTGTTTTCTAGTAAAGTATTTTTACAAAGTGAAAGTGGAAGGAAGTGCTAGGTAGGTACTTCCTTGTGCTCTTACATTTCCCTCTCCCCCCCCCCCCTCTTCACAGTGCCCAAGAATTTCCCGCAGGAGCTGAGGAAATATACAGTACAAGGCTTCCGTGTCATCGCCCTTGCCCATAAAACCCTCAAGATGGAGAAGCTGTTGGATGTAGAACGTTTGGAAAGGTATGCAATGGGAAATCCAGACCTGGGGGAGGGTCTTCTTCTACGAAGGGAGGAAGCCCTGGAGATGGACTGACGACTGCTCCCATCACTAGGAAGTTCTTGGACAGAGAACTGTTCTCATCCAGTCCTCGGCTTGGAGATGGGCAATTCGGGTAGGACATGCTCAGGTCACATGGTGGTTTGTGACAGAGCAAATAGGGCAGCTGAGATTTCCCAGACCCCACATCGAAGCTCTGCCCTGCCCTGCCCTTGCATAGCATTTGTCTTAGTCTTGGGTTTTTGTTCCCCTCACCATGACAAATTCTCATCCCACATGGACCTAGGTGTCTCTCAGAGACCCCTCTCAGAGAACACAGCTGAAAATTTGGAAGGTTTCCAGAAACCCTCCCCCCCCATTTTTTTCTGGAATTTCTCAGGTCTGGGCTTTTTATTTCCCTCAGATCTGGGAGGGAGGTAGTGAATGCAAATTAGATTCCATATAGGAAATAAAACTCAATATTTTTAGTTACATTAAAGGGATGAATTGGCCTCGTTAGAGGATAACATATACACTGTATTCTTCCACCTTTCAGAGGTTCATTTTAAGTGATCTACAGTAAAAGAATAGGAAAACTAACTAGATGGTAGCCTATGTAGTCCATATATTTGACATATTAAATTTATATTTCTAATTCAGAGATTCTCTTTCCTATATAATCGGCTCTATTGTATAAGGTACCAATGTATTTGGTTCAATGTTACTATCTGCAACCTTTCTAATATAATTGGTGCCTTACATGGTACCTGTTTCTACATCTACAAAACATAGGATTGGGTTATCCCCAAGGAGCTTTTCAGATAAGAGATTTTTGTCTTTGAAATAGAATCATAGAGCTCACCCAAATATATGAGTGACATCCTCAGCTTTAACATTCCAGATGTTGGCTAGCCTTGAGCAAGCATAAAGATCCATAACACATGGGATGTAATAATTTTTCATACATGAATTTGAATAATAGTGTTAAGGTCGTGAGGTGAACCAGAGATTTACATAGCCAGTGACAGAATGTAGACAGCCCAGCTGTGACATACAAGCACAGCTGTATTCTCATTTAAGAGCCAGTAGGGAGATACACATTATTAGAAATACAAAATAAAAAAATAAACTATGCTATCTTCCCACCCATTACAAGTTTTCCCAGGAGATATCAGGAGTCCAAAATGTTTGTTGTTATGCAGTTGTTTTTACAAAACATTGCTTTGATTTTTATTAGGATAAAACTAGATTAACAGTTTTTTTTTCCAATTAGGAAAATAAAAGGTTCTTGAAAACTAGAGTCACCAAAGGAAATTAAGAGTTATTTTTGAGATAACTTAGAAATCATCCAACACTGAATTACAAAAGAAATGCTTCCTTAAGACCTAACCCTTTCTTGGTTGAGCAAATGTCTATTAACTTCTTGTTCATGTTAGATATTCAGGAACTACAGAAATGAATAAAATTAACTCCTTGACCCCAAGAATTTCATATCTCAATTGGGGAAATGGATAGTAAAATGCATCTGTAATATGTTATCTTATTGGTGGTTCTTAAATATCTTAGAGGGGAAGAATGAATTAGCTGGAAAGAACCTTGAAAAACACACACCACCGTTTCACCTAAAGAGGTCAAAGATGTCCTCTGAGGAGAGATGTTTAAACAAAGATGTGAGTTATATAAGTGCAGACAAGCCTCCCCAGAGGCTGGGCATTGAAGGATGGGGCAGTGGGTGCAATCGCTGATGGTGTGGTACAACAGCAAGAGCCCAGTTGCCTAGAGAACTGATTGAGGGGATGAACTGTAATAGAAACAAGAGCACCCCTTTATTCTTGCCATTGTGTCCATTGCTTGGTGTCATATCCTTAAAACTGTTGCCAAGGTTGATCTCAAGAAAATGGCCCCTTGGGATTTCATCTTGGCGTTTCAGTTCTCAGTCTTATGTTGACGTCTTTGGTCCATTTCCAGTTGATCTTGGCATACTGTGTTGATTACCTTTACATTGCTCTGACCCAATACCTGACAGAAGCAATTTGAGGGAAGAGGAGGTTATTCTGGTTCTCAGTTTCAGAGGTATTTTAGACAGTCATGGCAGGGAAAGCAGAGGAGAGTACGTCTGTCTGCTGTGCTGGAGTGGGACACAGAGAGATTCACATGGCAGCCAACCAGGAAGCAAAGATCAAGGACTGAACCAAATCTGTCCCCAGCAACCTACTTTAATAAGAAAACATGATTCAAAGTTTATAAGGAGCATAACTTCATAATAAAAAAAACCCAGTAAGTATGATTTTTTTTAAGGAGCCAAGGGCCCAAGTAGATACTTGTCCAAGACATTTGATACACATGGACATAAAGTGCATAAAAAGGCATTGGAATTTAGTCAGTAAGATGGAAATCCAAACCACAGTGAGATGATCGCACGCCTAGGAAGATGGCTGATTAGGGACTGGAGGGATGGCTGAAAGGTTAAGCGCTCTTGCTCTCTTGAGGGATCAGTTCCCAACACTACGTGCACATACCTACATGTGGGCAAAAGTTCACACACATAAAATAAGAACAAGTGGATCTTTAAAAAAGATGGCTGACTGAAGTGTTGTAAGGGTGTAGGGATGCTGGAACCTATCACACTGTTATTGGGAGTGGGAAATTATGTAACTGCTATGGAAAACAGCACAGGTTCAGAAATGAGTTACAAAGATGATGGATTTTTGAACCAACAACCCCCTAATTCTATGTCTGCACACAAAAGAATTGAAGCCTGGATCTCAAGGGGACATCCGACATCCCACATTCTTTGCAGTATTGTTTATGATAGCCACAATACGGAAACAATGTAAATGTCCATCAATGAATTAATAAAGAAAATATAGTATATACACACAATGGGATATCATTTAGCCATTCAAAAGAAGGGAATTCAGGGAGCCATGAGTTACCGTGCAGATGTGGCCAAGTCCAAGAACCATGCCACACACAACCAATCCTGAAAATGCCACAGAAATGGCATTAAGAAACCCCAGTTATAAAGAGGTAAATTTCTTAAGGGCGTTGACCCCCAAGTTCCTGAGTAACACGTGCTTTGCCAAGAAGCACAGCATGAAAGGCCTGAGGGAGATACAGGCAAACAATGGGAAGGCAATGAGTTCACGAGCAGAGGACAGTAAGGCTTTTGTGGAGCCTAGGGTGGCTAAGCCCAAGATGCTGAAGGTTCCCAACCACAGACTGAGCCGTCTTGCTTTCATGGCTCACCCCCAGCTCGAGAAGTAGATTCGAGGCTGCATGGCCAAGGGTCACAGGTGCTGCCAATTAAAGCCCAAGACTCAAACCAAGGCTAAGGCCACAGCTCCAGCTCAGGCCCAAACTTCAGTTCCAGGTTAGGATCCCTAAGGTACTCAGGCCCCTGGGAAGGCCCCATAGAAAAGGCTCCTATCTTTCAATGTGAAGACAGATGGAATAGTGAGATGCACCTACCTGCTATTTGCAGATGGTCAGTGGCCTAGGCTATTTTTAAAAATAAACCCGAGGGAGGATTTGGGGGAAAAGGAGGGGGAGGTGGCATGGAGAAGGTTGGAATCCTGCCCTCTGAGACAATATGTCTTAGTGTGGAAGACAAGATGCTCACTGAAATACACCTGTCAGAGGAAGAGGACGATGGATAGCACCTGATCCCACTTATTCCAGGTACCTGAAAGAGGCTCCTAGATTGAGTAAAGTGGCTCATCCAAGGCTTGGAGGAGAGGGAAGGTCAATGACTGAAAGTTTGAATTCCAAAAGGTCATGAGTTCTGGAGATCTGCTCTGTTGCACGCTGCCTCGGGTTAACAGTAGTGTGTTGCACACTTACAATTTTGCTAGAAGAGTGTATCTCAAGTGTTCTTATCCCAAAGAAAAGACAGAACTGGGAGCGGAGGACACCTTTGGAGGTGACTGGAACATCTCTTTTGATGAGGGTGATGGTTATATAGGTGGGTATGGGTTTGAACTTATAAAATTGTGTGCTTTAATATGTCCAGGTTTTGTACAAACAATTCCACCACTTCTTCTTCTTCTTCTTCTTCTTCTTCTTCTTCTTCTTCTTCTTCTTCTTCTTCTTCTTCTCCTCCTCCTCCTCCTCCTCCTCCTCCTCCTCCTCCTCCTCCTCCTCCTCCTCCTATAATTCATTTGAGATCAAACAAACAAAAGACAGCAGTACTGGGGATCTGATTTATGAGGGAAGGGGTATGCCCTGGGCTCCGGGCAACTCTAAGGCATTCAGGCCTCTTTTTTTTTTTTAATTATTATTTTGGTTTTTCTCTGTGTAGCTTTGGTGCCTGTCCTGGAACTCGCTCTGTAAACCAGGCTGGCCTTGAACTCATCGAGATCCACCTGCCTCTGTCTCCTGAGTGCTGGGATTAAAGGCTGTACCACCACCACCCGGCCTAAATGTACAATAAAATAATGGAATAAATAAGAAATTAAAAACAGACACAGAGAAAAACATTCCCGGAGTTAGAGAAATAAAAGGAAGCCTGGTGTGATGGGGCATGCCTTTAATCCTAGCACTTAAAGTTTAAAAAAATAAAGAGTTCCAGGACAGTAAATTCTACACATTGAGAAACACAGCCTCAAATAAAATATATATAAAAAAAATAAAACAATTCCACTTCAATGATGCTGTTAAAATAAGGCACTTTATGGACCTAGCAAAAACAAGCAAAGAGGCTGGACAGACAGCTCAGTGGAGAACGTGCTTGCCACACAAGCGTGAGGACCTGAGTTCAGTCCTCAGCACCCCCATAAAAAGTCCTGTTCATTTGTAATCCCAACACGGATGAAGCAAAGCGGACAGATCCCTGAGCATCCCTGGCTTAGCGTGAGGGGCAAGCCCCAATGTCCAGTGAGAGGTTTTACCGGCAACGAAAACTAAGGCAGACAGAACCTGCACACTTGCACACACATACACCCCCACACAAGTGACCACACGTACACTCACACACATGCACAATAAGCAGTGTACACTTGCACGCCTACATGCACACACATAAACAATAAGCAGAATTAACTGGTGAGTTTTCAGTTCTAGTTAGTAAGAAAATTTTAATTCATTTTTATGCCCAAGTTAAATACACTTTAGTGCTGGAAGGGTACAGTCTGAACATCAGATACTGTGGTAGTGATGACATTCATGCAGAATGCTCCCAGTGACTGGTGACTGTCAAACAGATTTTTTTTTTAATATAAGGTCAAGGGAAAAAATATTGAAAGATTTTGGAGATTAAAAACTTTACATAGTGAACCATTAAAAACAAGAATGAGAAGAAAAGAACACCATTTTTAAGATGTAGGTGGAAACTAGAAGTGATTGTTTTGGGGGAAGAGATAAAGTGTGGTATGGGGACAGGACCACTGGCTTTCATTATAAGCTGCTGGTTCTTTCCTTTGTTAATGTGTGCACTATTACATTAATAAAACATAGATAGAGGTTCTGAGGAAGAGAACTAAATCGGCCATGAGTACCACACTGCTACCCCTGAAAATGCTGATTTTCCTCCTGAATCCTAAGGGAGAAAGTGGAGTCCGAGTTGGCATTTCTGGGACTTCTCATCATGGAGAATCGCTTGAAGAAAGAAACAAAGCCCGTGTTGAAGGATCTGAGCGAGGCCCACATCAGGACTGTGATGATTACAGGTATGTGGGGTTCCGGAGCCCAGCAAGGAGCAAACTGAAAAGAAGTGTGACTTGAGCAAGTCCATGGGACTGAGCTTGAGGAGAGCTGTGCTGCATGGCCCTGCCTCCCTTGCAGTACCTGCAAGCAGGAGCAGCATTTTTTTGAGGCAGTGACTGGATCCTATTCTCTGCACATTACCACTCGTCCTACCCAGGGTTCTATGAGTAGAAATATTTGTACACAGGCTGGAGACATGACTCAGTCAGGAAAGGGCTTGTTATGCAAGCGGAGCTGAGTTCAGAGAGCCGGCTGCCATGTGAAAAGAAAGAACAGAGCGAGGTGACTCAGGGCTGAATCTCTGTACTGGGAGGTGGAGACAGGAGGAGAATGCTGGGGGTTTGCTGGGCAGATCAAGGAGCTCTGGGTTCAGGGAGAGCCTCTGTTAAAAAAGAAAACAAAATGGAGCATGGTTAAGGAAGATCCTTCTGACCTCATATATGAACACACACACACACACACACACACACACACACACACACACTGCCACCTCCCCCCCCCCCCAGAGAGAGAGGTGGGAGGTTACACATGGGACAGATGGCCAGGCATCGTGCGTGGTAAGCACACCCAAGTGTCGCCCGGTCCTCAGTGTTTCCTCTTGTGGTTAGTACATCCTTAGGACACACTGTGACTTCAGCCTGGAGCCATGTGTTCACCAATGAGAGCTATCTGTTATCTCAATATTAGTCATAAAGAGCTCACACATGTCTTCCTTCCTTTATGCATGGTTTGGAAATACACAGTGGGAGAGATGTTGAACTAGGTGTTTGCTCACTAAAGGCATACACTTGGGTAGGAGGAAAGGTAGTTATGAAAGAGCAGAGAAAACACTAAATATATTCAGTGCGCAGCAACAAAGGGAAGGAGAGATATCTTCGCTCTGGTGGCTGATAGGTTTGTCCTTAAAGTCTCTTTGTCATCTAGGTGACAATCTTCAAACCGCCATCACTGTGGCTAAGAATTCCGAAATGATTCCTATGGGCAGCCAGGTCATCATTGTTGAGGCTAATGAGCCAGGAGACCTTCTTCCTGCGTCTGTGACCTGGCAGCTGGTGGGGACCCAAGAGCCCGGCTCTGCGAAGAAGGTGAGCAGATGTTCAAAGACCCCTGGCTGGGCCTGGGTTTGTGGAACACAGCCCTGGCATGGCACAACCATCTGAGTCCTGGAAGTTATCACAGTCCCAATCCCTCAGGTGTGTGTGGTGTGTCTCGAGTGCGACACCCCGCAAAGTGTTTCCAGTGGCATTTTGCAAACCCAGCTGTACATGATCACCTGGGGAGTTTGCAAACTAACTTCCTACCGCAGGCTGTAGCAATTGAGTCAGAGTCCCTGGATAGGAAGGAAATAAGCTTGCCAAGGCACACTGGCGAGCCACACGGCAGACACCAGATCAGGGTCTCTGATTCCACACATACATCCACATTGCATGGCACCTTGCTGGAAAGCTGACAAAGGTAGAGCTTTCCAGAAAGCAAGCTTTCTGTTGGCTTGTCTGAGAAAAGCTCTCCCATATGAGAATGGCCATGACCCGACACTCCACTTTTGTGTCACTCCAAAGCATGGTCCTTCCAGCAAGGAATTACAGAGATGCTTCTTGGTTCCAGGCTGAACAGCTTCTGACATTGTTACCTAGACGGGGGACTTGGGTGCAGCACACAGACTGACACATAAAAGGAGTGGCCCTGGGTCATCGAGATGGGTTAATCTGACATAACCTCCACTTCCGGATGCTATGAAAGATGGCGGTTCTCTCTCGTACCTTCTACGGCCCTCTAGTATTCATTTCATGGTGAACGTGCTTGCTTCATACAGCATCTGCATCTCACTGTGTTACAGAACACTGGGCCTTCACTAATTTAACAACCAGCCTGTCTGTGCTTACATCCATGAGATTAATACCTCATCTGAGGTCCAGCCTCAGTTACAGCACAGCCTCAGCCCTTCTCCTTACCTCTGGCACTTTCCCTATCTTCCTACAAGCCAAGGGATTCCTGTCTTGTTTTAGTGGCTTGCGGTTGGCAGAGGAAGAGGAGGGTGGGTTCCCCTCCTGTTGATTCTGTGCAGGAGTTCCCCCCTCCCCCTGCTAAACACAATGTTTTCTCTGATATGTATGTCTCTAATGAATAAAATATTCGCACCTCCTGTACTGTTTAAGTCCGGTCCTATGGAAACGTAAAGCCTGCTGATAAATCTTGAGAGAAGCCATTGTCGGGGACTGCGGGGAGGAGCCGATGGTCATCATCAAATGTGTCGTCTTGTGCTGTCAGCCAGGATTATTGAGCACAGTTGAGGGGGGTACCTACAAGTGGCCGGGAGCGAAGGGTCTTGGAACATGTGATAATGGTGCATGGGAACATAGGTGTGGGAGAGGCTCTGGGCACCATGAGGGAAGGGGGTCCCCTGTTTTAGTAGGGTCAAACAAAATTCAGAAGTCAAACACAGGAAAGAGCTAGGTACGAAGAACTAAACTATGCCTTCTTGCCATGAAGAAACCGAGTCAATGAATGGTACAAGATCTTAGGAAACACAAGGGTACATGAGGAAGAAGTCGAGAGACATTCTTGGCACCTTCCTATGAAGGCACAATCACAGGAAAGGATGAAAGCTGTTAGAGCATCATGTATTTATATAATTCTGGGGGCGTAGCATTTTGCCTTTCTTCTTCCTGCAGGTTGAGGTTCCAGGGTCAAATGACCCCTCCCACACTTGCTGATGCTCATTTCTTTCTGCAACACAAATTCACTTTCTTCCTTCACGCATCACAGGGAAGCTGGCACTGCTTACGAGCCCATGCGGAAACAATGCCTTTTGATTTTAGGAAACCTACATTGATATCGGAAATAGTTCTGCACCTGGTGGGGAAGGTTACCATTTTGCGATGAGTGGGAAGTCATACCAAGTGCTGTTTCAGCATTTCTACAGCATGCTGCCCAAAGTAAGTGCTGATGGAATGTGATGCATTGTCAGGGTCTCCAAGTGAGTGGAACACAGAGAGTAAAGAAGTGACAGGTCACTGAGGTGGACTTGGGTTTGGGAATGTGCATCGCTGAAAGCACCTTGACTTTCCAGGAGGTTCCTGGTCCTGTCTAAACCCACCAGACCCTGCACAGACAGCCATGACCCTTCAGTCTTCAGTGCTGATAGCCGCGCTCACCCCGTGGCCAGCCCAAGCTCAGCCTCCCCCTCCCTCCATTCCCTGCCTGGCGCAACTTCCTAGTAGATCCACACATCAGCTTTCCTTGTACATCAGTCTCTCTGAAAGCCACTAGCCTGTGTCAGGTGGAGCTCCATTCCCCTGCTGCCTGGAGTCTTAAATCACAGCAGAAGGAAGCAAAAAGCACCAGGGTTTATTTTCAGAATCATTTATTATCTTGTCCTCTGTGCGTCCTGCTTTAAAATAGTGTCGAACAGGGTTGCGCTGTCAGTGTGGTGGAGAGACGGGGCATCCAAGCTGAGGGTTGCAACCATCTGTTAGCAGAGTCTAAAATAATCTGCCACCTTACCTTCCTTGGTAAGTAAGTCAAGGACTGAAGAATGTGGGGGCTAAAGGTTTTGAGAAAGCTCTTATTCTAGGCCCTACTGTGGAGATGGGAATCTGAAACTCAGAGAGGTTAAGTCACTGATCTAAGGTTTGCACAGTGAATTGGACTCATCAATTGCTCTCTTCTCTGTCTGTGGCGGCAGACAGTGTATAATGAGATGAGCTGCATTTCCCAAAGAACTTCACTCCGATTGCTCATGTGCCTCTTAGTTGCTATGTTAATGAGACGTTACCCCTTCTCGGGGAAAAGAAAAAAAAAGTAATTGGGTCCAGCAAAGAAAGTAATGGAGCTGTGTTGGAGGACTTAAAGTTCAATATTAAACCATTAAATCTCTCATTCTGATTCCTGGCTTTGGGTCTAATGTCACACACCCAGCGCGGTGCTGAATCAATGGCCAGGAATGACTTTTCAGGATTTTCACTTCTGAAACATTCTCCTTCCTAAGCTTGCTACGATGATTGTCTTTCTCTTTAGATTCTGGTTAATGGAACCATTTTTGCAAGGATGTCTCCTGGGCAGAAATCAAGCCTCGTGGAAGAGTTTCAGAAATTAAAGTAAGTGACAGGTGTAAAAAGAGGCTATGGCTATGTCCTCTATGGCTGCCTAGCTGCCTACCCCCTAGTGTCTGAGGGTAACGCCATTGGTTTGGTTTATGTTTCTATGGATCAGGTATCCAGATGTGGCTCAGGTAAGCCTTGGTTCCTGAACCAAGGGTGTAATTATGAAGGGACATAACCAGGTGTTAGCCAGAAGTGCTTAAGCTCCTGCCGTGTGTTGAAATAGAGATACTGGTTTTTACTGCTCCTTGGAATAAGTCATTCTCAACTCCTTGAGATGCGGGTCATTTCATGGGAAAGAGGCTAATGTCACCACTGACTTCCATATGTAGAGCGAGAAAGCAAGAATAATGATAGAGGTGTAGAAGGGGATGGAGGGGAGAAGGTGGGAGGGAGGGATAGTGTTACTGTTCCTCATTCCCTAATCTTAGAATAGTTGGCTGCCTTCTTTTCTTTTGAAGCAAGTCACTAGGTCCCCGCCCATACTCAAGGGAGTGGATTTCACAATGACATGCATTGCAGGAGGTGAGGACAATTGAGACCCATTTTAGACGCCTACTACCCCCAAAGAACACTAACTTTGTGGCCCGTGCAGCCTATCTCGAAGGAAGATTGCCTGCTTACATGCAGAAAGAAGAAATAAGGAGGGTTTGTGTAGCTCAGAATGGGAAAGGTGGCAGTGTATGAGTTCTCTCCAGAAGTCATCTGCTTGACCCAGTAAGGGATAAGTGATCATTTCAGAGCCTCTTAGCATGAGGGAAACAGCAGCTGGCAGGGACCAGAGACAGAGGGCAGATTCAACACTCTGTCAGAGCACTGATGACCAAGTCCCGTCTGAATGTGAAAGTCTTTGCTGAAGTCAGACCTACCTATTCATTACTTGCTGAAAGTATTACGGTTTCTAGCCTGAAGGTTTCAGACAGCATACAAGGAGTAGTGAAACAAGATAAATGTTGCTTCCTCCTCACGTTGGAATCAGGAGACTACCTCTCACTATCAGATTTTATTGGCTGAGCTTCATAACAAAGTCTCAAATGCCTCCCATTAGTTTCCCTATGCTTTCAGACTGCGTAAGTGGCCAGGTGTAAGTGGCTAGCTCATTCACATGGTCATTCGTTACATGGCATTGGCTAAAGAGAATAATTTTCCCTGTTTCAAATGCCTGAGAAACATTGTTGGGTGACACTCTGAAAGCCATGTCCCCCTGAAACACAATTAGCATGGAAAGATACATACTGGGACAGAATGAGCTGACTTCTTGGTTACCCATCATCCCCTTTGCAGCTCTACCCTTGGCAGTGCAGATCAAGCTCTCTTTCTAAACCCAGGAAACACTAGGAGATATAAGATCCCTGGTGTGATGCAGACACTCGTCATGGGCTCTAAGTCTTGAGGAAGGAAGTCTATTAGATGACTACAGGTAGTGACGACACTATGACATGGTGTGCAAATGCTTGTGATGTCACTAGCCCAGCATTAGGCTGAACTGGTCCATGTTGAACCACATTCGAACTGTAGAGAAGGTCCAAGAGTGACTTCTTATGGGATCTCCTAACAGGACTTCACTTCTATCACTCGTGGTGTGATTTTGGAAAGTGCCACCGAAGCATTTAAAGCATTGCCATGAGCCACTGTTGATAACATGTCATTCATTCACTTGTAATAGGAGGGCCAATGCCCTCTGCATAAGAAATCCCTTCTCCGTGGCAGCAACTTAAAATTCGTCCTTCCATTTAGACCCTGGTTACGTACCAAGCTGATATACATGGGGTACACGTTACCTCACTGCCACTCCGAGACACATCCAGGACACGTGCATGCTCTAGTTGTATCTGCCGAACCATGTGTCGGGGACTGTTCCTCCTAATGTTGGAACTGAACACTCGGCAGCGGTGAGAACACCTTGGCCAGGTTAGACTGTGCCCTGCCTGTTAGGCTGAGTGAGAAGTGCTGTAATCATGACCTCACTCTAATCATGACTCCATGTCCTTGAGCGTGAAATGGTGGACATAATCAACCTGACTTTCTTTCCAAATGGCGTGATTACTATCATGGCTGATGTCCGTGGTGTTATCACTGTCATTTCAGTGATTGAGACAAATTAAGTTCTGGGCCTTTTCCGTCTTGAACCAAGATTCCCCAAGTCATTTCCTTGATTCTACATCTATTCAGCACACACACACACACACACACACACACACACACACACACACACCCCTTGCATAGGAGCTAGTTATAATGGAAATTATTCAGGAGAACTTCTGAGCTGAGCTGTTGATTTTTGTATCTTTTCCTCTGTAGTTATTACGTGGGCATGTGTGGAGATGGAGCCAATGACTGTGGGGTGAGTACCCATGACTTCTGCTAATACAGGCAGTGCTTCAGAATCACTCTTGAGTCCCCCAAGGAACCCCTGGGGCCTCTTCCTCCTTCCTCCAGCAGCCACTGGCTCATGCTTACCTTTCCCTGAGCAACAGAAAGAGGTGGTGCTGCTTCAGCTGTCTTCTGGCAATCCCCAGAATAATAAAGTGACCTTCTGACACTCCCCAAGTGGACTTTACAAGATTATCTGGTTTAAGCCTTTATTGCCACTGATAAGGAAAGGAAGCCTCTGGGAGGGGGCATGCTTTTGCACAGGGTGCACAGCTGGTAATGCCTTGGAGAAGAAAAAGGTTGAAACTCATAAAGTTTTTAATTACGTGAATTGCATTTATTCCCACCAAACCCACTCTGAGGTTAATTTTTGAAAATTAGTTTCTCCCAAATTGTTATGAAATCCTAAATGGTATGGTTTTTACACACTATAGCAAAACTAAAATTAAATGAGTCTCAGGTTATTCTTCATTCCCAGCAGGAGGGGAGTATGTGTTTTATATTCTGGCTTTGGAAGATGTGGGTGAAATAATAGTTGACTTTGAGGACTATATATGTACTTCAATAGGTAAGTGTGGTACAGGAATTGAAGAACAGGGCTGAGGTTATAGTAGAATAGTAGAGTGCTTGCCTAGCATGTGTGCTGCTGAACCCATTAAAATAGTGCAAAACAGAAGAGGAGGAGAGGGAAGAGGAGGAGAGGGAAGAGGGAGAGGGACAGAGGAAAAAGGAAATTGCTTCATACTCTTTATATCTGTATGTATCTAAAAGCTCATTAGACATTTAAGATCCGGCCATTCATTTTACTTTGCTCTTAAATATTTTCTCCAGTGTTTGTGAAAAAAAGTGTGTTCATACTTAAAGACTTAGGATAAAAATTTCTACCTGTGTTTCATGAGAAGACAGTTGTTAGTCCATTCATTCAAACTAGGGCGAATACTTACTGCTATTAAGTATGTGACATTTACAGCAAAACAAAAATATCAAAAGGACAATCTCTGTTCCCCCAAAAGGCGATCATCTAATGGAGAAATCATGCATAAAATTAACCCTGACATATGGCAGATGATCTTAAGTTACATAATAGAGGTAGAAAACACTAAGGGAGAAAAGAGGAGTGTGGTGATGTTCTAAGATTTATAGAGCTGGAATCTACTGCATACCAAACCATGCAACCAAGCACTATAGAACAACTTGAATACAAAATCTCATTTCACAGGCCTACAATTCCTGAGAGATTAGAGGCTTTCTGTGGCTTGTCTGTGGGCCATTTTGCTGTGTGTTCGCTGAACAGCTTTTAGCCTTCATATGAGAAGAAAGAGCCCTCACATCTGTGAAGCAACACATGTACCACCATGTGCATGTGGGCATATGTGGCCTGACTTGGGCATCTAGTGGTGATGCTGCATGCTCCACACTCTTTACCAGCAGTGAGCCAATTGGCTGAATCAATTAGCCAAGAAAGTTGGTATTAGATATCTTCCCCCTTCCCTGTTTTTTCCGTTAAGATGGCCCTGCTAAGAATAAGAACTGAGATACTGGAAGTCCCCAATGGTCATCCAAATTTTGTCGTCCTTTTTAAAAGATTTATTTTGTTTTTCATTATGTGCAAATGTGTGTGTGTGTTTGTGTTTGTGTTTTGTGTGTGTGTGTGTGTGTGTGTGTGTGTGTGTGTGTGAAAGAGAGAGAGAGAGAGAGAGAGAGAGAGAGAGAGAGAGAGAGAGAGAGAGAGAGAGAATGCAAGTACCTGCAAGGTCCAGATACCATGGAGACAGAACTACAGATAACTGTGAGCCTCCCAATGTGGGAGGAACTAAACTTGGGTTCTCTGCAAGAGTAGTATGGGCTGTTAGCTATTAAGTCAGTGTTTCTCAACCTGTGGGTCTCAACCCATTTTGAGATGAACAACCTTATCACACACAAGAGTGTGTGATATCAGATATCCTGCATATAAGATATTTACATTATGACTCATAATAGTAGAAAATTACAATTATGAAGTGGCAACAAAAATAATTGTATGGTTGGGGTCAGCACTACATGTGGAACTGTATTAAAGGGTCACAGCATTAGGAAGGTTGAGACCCACTGTGACATCATCTCTCCAACCCTTCTGTCTTCCTTTTATAGACTTTGAATGAGTGCTTCCATTTCCTGATGCTGCATGCGTGCCACACAGATGGTACATTATGTGTGCATGTGTGGAAGCACACACACACACACACACACACACACACACACACTTACACACACTTCTACTGTGGATCATGGCATAGTCAGTTTCTCTTTTATGGTGACTTTATGGGCCAGGGGAGACAGGGTATATAGATGAAGGGGTAACATGAACAGAGATGTGAATATGGACAGTTCCTTAGTTAGGGTTTTTAATTGCTGTGAAGAGACGCCATGATCATGGCAACTTTTATAAAGGAGAACATTTAATTGGGGTAGCTTGCGTACAGTTTCAGAGGCTCAGTCCATTATCATCATGGCAGGGAGCATGGTGGCATGTAGACGGGACGTGGTGCTGGAGGAATAGCTGAGAGTCCTGCATCTTGTAGGGAACAGGAAATTGACTGAGACACTGGGCGGTATCCTGAGCATAGGAAACCTTAAAGCCTCCACAGTGACACACTTCCTCCAGCAAGGCATACTCACGCCAACAAAGCCACACCTCCTAACGGTGCTACTCACTGAGATTATGGGGGCCAATGACATTCGAATTACCACACATGGTGTTGAACTGACATTTGACAAATAGCTTTGTTATTTGAGTAGTAAGAGCCTGGTCTGAGGAGTCATGGTTTGACTTGGATGGATCATTCCAGGCTTTGAAAATGGCCCATGCAGGCATCTCACTATCAGAACAGGAAGCATCCGTGGCATCTCCCTTCACCTCGAAAGTAGCCAATATCGAGTGTGTGCCTCATCTCATCAGGTAAGCTGCATCTCCCTCTCTACCTCATCACCATGGCTCATTGTGTGACTCTGGAAATAGAATTGGACACTAGCTTCAAGTCATAAAGGCCAGGGCAAGTGTGGGTCTAGTGCTGCCAGCCATTAACCATGGAATGATACCGGTTGCTTGAAAACACCAACAGGGCCATAAAAAGCTGACTTTCAATGAGTTTTAAGAAATAGATGGGTGTGTCAGGTAGACTGCTAAAAGCTCACTTTGGCATTTAAAATCTGATTGCATGTCTTCTCTTTCTTTTACTTTCCTATACTGGAAGCCTTCTCTGATGTTTTACCAGGAGTTGGGGGTGGATGAGAAAACAGGATGAGAATACATTATTAGATAGCTTTCCCCAATACTATTGTATAACTCTAAAATAAAAATTCAAAAACATCCAGGATGTTGTTGGAGAAGGGGAAGGGGGGACACGTGTTTGCTTTCCTTTACTGCACCCATTTCTGATCTCATTTCTACGTACATTTTAAGTATAATGAAGAAGAAAGCATCCTGTTTTATATTTTGTTCATATATCTTTCCCCTGCTGTTCCTGGAATACCTGGGGGTAACAGGGCATCTCCATGGCCAGTGGGCTGGAAGTCATCACTTCCAGCTTACACTGAAAGGTTCACCACCATGTTTCTTGGTGCCTCCGAGAACAAGGTGACTGGTAGGAGGTCATCAAGCCTGAAATACCCTGTCCTTCCTGCACATCAGCCAAGCAGCTGGGTCACATGTCCTTCGTCCCTGGGTATCTACACCTGTGTTCTTCTGTAACCTCGAGGACCACCACCCCCTGTTCCCCCAAAGCATGATTGTGACCCAATGTATTATGCATCTAGAATGTATTTAGAATGAAGTATGTTGGTTTAGAATACAAGTAATGATATAAAATTTGTTAGGGGCAGATGGCTTGTTGTTAAGACTTCAGGGTAGACTTTCTTCCTATATTTCATAGCCTCAGAAAATTAGATACAGTTCAGTATTTGGCTCTTTTAGCCTTATTTTATCCTTTGGTATTCTCCACACATGTTTATTCCTGAGAAAGAATTCCAGAGGGCGATGAGGTATAAGTCGTACATGAATAGATCTAGGTCCACAGGCCTCTTGTCGTTCTTTAGAGTGTGAGCCACGAGTTGTTATAGTTCAAGTCCTTGAGGAAAAAGCTGCTATCTGTTTTCAATTCTGAATCAAGCATTATATCTAACTCTAAGCTCAGTATAGCAGAACATTAGATGGATGGCTGCGGGATGTGCAGATAGATGTATGAGCTACTAAAATTCATAATCATTAAGAGTAGCAGCGATCCTGGAAGCTCATGAAGACAGCTTTTATCCTGCCCTCAGAACCATGATTCGTACTTTGTTTGAATCTGGCTGTCTTAATTTTCTTGAAATTATATACAACTGCAGGGGGAAAAAAAAGATGAAATCATAATGTTTATGTCAGGCTTGGGAAAACAATCCCAGCTTTGCATTCTTTTCTCAGCCTGTTTTCTCCTCCATCCTTTGTTGAAAACAAACGTTAGCTGTTCACAGCCTGGTGGGAAACATCTGCCTGAAGTACCCTGGCCCATCTCCCAACCTAACACTCATCTTGCCTGAGGCAAGTAGTTAGTAATTTGGCTTCCAGGTTTGCCGGTTTATGTTTCTGTAGAGTTATGACATCTTTGAGCTGAGCAGGTGCCCATGTCACTGGGGACTAGAAACAAAGCTAAACCCATGTGGCCTCATGTCTGCCCTGGCAAGAGGAAGCTGTAGAACCATCATGCTATGTTCTCACACTGTCCTCTGATCCACTACCATCCAAGAAACCTCAGCTAAAGGACATTTCCCCGCAAAGGATGAGTATGCAATTTTCCAAGCCAGAGTTTCTACAGTGGTCTTGATCTTTTGATCTCTTCTCCAGTTCAGAACATTACCTTGGTTACTTCCAGGAATATCACAGATGACAAAAGCATCAGAACTCAAATGTTAGAGTTGCATCCATACTTCATAAGAGTACTAATCTCTTAGCTTCATGTGTTGAGAGCCACTAAAATCACTCAATTTCAGGAGGCACATGCTGAGATAGAAGAAATTAGGTTCAAGTCAGTGCTTGACCTGGCAGATTATCATGATGCTGCGTTATGCTTAGAATATACACAATAATATTCTTACTTCACAGAACGGACAGAGCCTGACTCATTTCATATCCTTTTGCAATGACTTTTGGTGTAATGTTGGCACTTCATAAGACCTCAGTAAAGGTGGGTCAAGAATCCAAGGGGGAATTAAGGATTGAGTAAGAGAAGGAAGAAATGAATGAAGGTTTAAATAGGTCATGGGGTACAGTTCATTAGTTAATGCTTACCTGTGGTGGATAAGATGCTGGGTTTGATTCCCAAGCACTGCATAAACCAGTGGATGCCAGTAATCCGAGTATCCAGGAGGTAGAGGCAGAAACATCAGGAGTTCAACAAATAAAACAAGGGGCTCGGAGATACTGCTCAGGGGTCAGAACATGTGGTATGCAAGCTTAAGGACCTGAGTTCAAATCCCAAGCACTGACATAAAAAGCTTGGACCCTAATAGCTCCCCAGCTAGCCACTTAGCCAAACAACAAACTTCCAACTCAGTGAGAGACCCTGTCTCAAGCCACTGGGTGAAGAGTGATAGAAGACATGTGACATCCTATTCTGGCCTCCACATGCATGTATATGTGTGTATATACCTGTATATTAACATGCATGTAACACACACACACATAGTACAAGTAAAAATTCAAGAAAACATATAAAAAGAAAAGATTAAAATAATTTCCTGAGGATATAGCTCAGTGGTAGAGTGCTTGCCTGGCATGTGGAAGGACCTGGATTTGATTTCCAGCACCGTAAACATAAAATAAAAAAGTTGAAAGAATGAATATATGGCTAAGTGGGTATATATCAACAGGCTATTAAACATGAACTCCTTGCTCAGCCTTAAGTGGGTCACCCGTACTACCTCCTCTAATGGCTCACTCACATCACGGAAGGGGGGGCAGAAAGAATGTAAGAGATCAACAATAGGTCTATGTTATGAGTGGGAGATGGCTGTACCAGCTACAGTTGCCTGCACAGGGCATGCAAAAGACCTAACCAGTAAACATTCAGTCACAAACTCTCCTGGGCAATCTCCGTGAGGCTCTAATGTCAGTCAAGGGCTGTCTTCAGAGATGTAACCAGTGGAGAGTCACTCATGCCTCAGTGGTTAGCTTCGTACCCATGCTCATATGTGTGCCTCTGGTTAAACCTCTAATAGAATGGCTTAAAGCAACGCAGAAACAAAAATCATAACCAAAAGACACAAAAGTAGGATGGGGACGTTGTGCAAGGGGTAAGGGTCCTGGCAAGGGTGGGAAGGGGATATGGAAGGGTAGAGTAATGAGTTACCAAATGTATTGTATACATTATATATATATATATATATATATATATATATATATATATATATATACATACATACATATATATGTGAAATTGTCAAAGAATGAAAAAATTTTTAAATGAACTCCCTTTGAAATATAAAGACTGGGGGCTGTGTGGCCTATATAAGCAGATTTTGTGTTTGTTTGTTCTGAACAGGGAGGGCCGAGCAGCTCTGGTTTCATCTTTTGGTGTATTTAAATACTTGACCATGTATGGCATCATCCAGTTTATTGGAACATCACTTCTCTATTGGGTATGAATTAAAATCACTTCTTCTCAGTTCTAATTATATTTATAGCTTTGGGATGCGGATCCTACACCCTATTTAATGTTTATAAATACATGGAATTTCTCAGAAAAAGTGGCCTACAAACGTGAGAACTGGTGTGCTTCATGCAACCTGAGGCTAGAAGTGAGTAGCTCTGGATCTGTTGTCTGGAACATTAGTTTTCTCTGGATAACCTAAGTCTCTTGACCTCCACAATCCCCTGTCTCCTCCTTGGGGTATTAACAGAGTTTGAGAGCAGCCTAAATATAACTTGGCAGGAAATGGATCTGCCTCCAACTGTGGAATATTTTTGGTTAAAGACTCAAAAGAGATAAAAAGGAAGAGAAGTTTTTGAATTTGATTTTGAAGGATGGGAATGCTGAAAAATTTCTCACAGTGGGACTGTGCTCCTGAACCTACTCAGAATTTAATAGTGTTAGATGCATCGTCAGTGAAAGATTGGTGATTCCTTAAAACTACAAAGGACTCTAAAAATCAAATGGTGATAACTATTTAGAAGTTAGCTGCATAGAGGAGCTGTATATAGATTCAAAATAATCTTCATTATTTCAAGCATAGTTTGCTCTACAATAAAATGACCCAATGGACTCAAAGGACATTTGGGGAGTTCGGCTGTTTTATTGCTTCGGGAGGGTATTTAGGAGGTGAATGAGGAGACCAGGGCTAGGGTATCTTGTTGGCTACTGCTGGCAAGGACACACGTGGGAGGCTGAATGGCCAGCAGGTGGGGAGGGCTCAGGAAACCCCACTCAAGCCTTACCTCCATCCAAACTGCAAAGCTTTTGTTTTGCCCTTGGCAAGCTCCCACCTCTGAAAAGCTAGTGACCTATTTTCAAGGTCTCCACGGTTCTAGGATCGCTGTTCTTATTGAAAACTCTGAAGCTGCTGATGGACAGTTTTCCTTGTGATTCTGTTTCTATGTAATTTTCCCACTCAGAGGGGCAAGGGTAAGAGGAAGTAACCAGGGGCCAGGGAGGTAAGTCAGTCAGCAGAGTGCTGCCTGGGTTCAGACCCCAGCACCCACATTAAAATAATTGGGCTTGGTAACATATAACTTATACTTCCGGTGAGGGAAGGCAGGCCCAGGAAGATCCTGGGTACTCAATAGCCAGTTGAGTTTAGCCAACTGGTGAGCTCCAGGTCCAGTGAGTGACCATCTCAAAAAAGAAGAAAGAAAGAAAGAGAGAGAGAGAGAGAGAGAGAGAGAGAGAGAGAGAGAGAGAGAGAGGGAGAGAGGGAGGGAGGGAGGGAGGGAGGGAGGAAGAAGGAAAGAAGGAAGGAAGGAAGGAAGGAAGGAAGGAAAGAAAGAAAGAAAGGAAGGAAGGAAGAAAGGAAGAAAGAAAGAAAGAAAGAAAGAAAGAAAGAAAGAAAGAAAGAAAGAAAGAAGATAAGGTGGAGAGCCATAGAGGGAGACACCTGACCCTAACCTCCGACCTCTACACATGAGTACACAGGCACATACCCCTTCACATGCAAGTGCACACAGAATGTGTTCAGTACACACACACACACACACACACACACACACACACACACACACACACACGAACGAGTGCACACGCATATACACCCAGAGTGGAGGGTAGATAAAGAACAGTTGGGGACCAGGAGGCACAATGTACCTACGTTTTCATAAAACTGGGCACAGAGCTGAAGTGCCTGTGTTGGAGTTGAAATCAGTCCACTCAGCAGTTGTCCACTGTTGTTTGGAGTCTGGTGGGTGTGTCCTCTGAGTACCTCAACCTGGACGCTAGTACAGAGCCTTTAGAAAGGCCAGTGTCTGTTCACATGCAGACATTTGCAACACATCAGAGTCAGATTACAGTGTAGAATGCAGTCACTAGCTACAAAGCAGGTCCACAGGCCTGGCTGCTCAAGGTCCAGCAAGGACTTTCCTTAAAAATAATGGTTTGACTTTTTGGCCTTACGCATTCAGCTCCAAAATTGTGAACTGAAAAGCTAAATTCTTTGTGTACTCAGACCTCAGGAAGGAGAGACAGCAGACTAAAGTCTGCAGTGTGTTTACTTAGGGCAGTGGTTCTCAACCTGTAGGTTGCGACCTCTCTGTGAGTCCAGCCACCATTTCACAGGGGTCACCGAAGACCATTGGAAAACACAGATATTTACATTATGATGCCTAACAGTAGCAAAACTACAGTTATGAAGTAGCAATGAAATAATTTTATGGTTGGGGTCATCACAACATAAGGAACTATATTAAAGGGTCGCAGAATTAGGATAGTTGAGAACCACTGCTTTAGTAGGGAAAGGCCTTCTTCAGTTTGGGAACATGAGTGAACTCCAACTTCATTATGTTGTCACTCAATCCATACTCAAGAGTGGAGACCTACACCTGTTAAATGAATTGGAGCCTTGACTTTAAATTTTGTTTAAAATTCCATTAGAAACTTTCAGACTTTCACATCTTGTGCTGAGAATTCAGTTGTCCGGGCTGCGATGATGCCTGCCAGGGCTAACGTGCCTAGTAGGAGGCTGGCTGGGTTCTGATTATGCCTCTGGTGATAAAGAAATGAGTTAAATACTGAGAAAATAGTTACTGGGGTCATTTAGTCTAATGAGATACTGATGGTTTTTCAGTCCATACTTTCTTTTTGAAAAAAAGAGAGAAATAGCAGCTGCCTGCTGCGTGCTTTATAAAGAGTACTGTGAGGGGGAAATGCTACAAAACCGGGCATGATACTTACACTGGCTCTTTCTTTTTCCAGCAACTACAGATCTTTGGCAATTACCAGTATCTCTTGCAAGATGTGGCCATCACACTGATGGTCAGCTTAACAAGTAAGTTGGTATGTATGTAAGTTTGTTTGTGAAGTCCCCGAAACACACAAGTGAGAACATCATAAGAAAACAAGAATGACATAATGACTAAAACTGTCTATGAATTTATTTAAAGTACCATTAGGAGTGAGTGGACGCTTGGGGTCTCCAGAGCTGCCATAAAATAACCTGATGATAAATAGGTCTTTGCCTTAAGAACTTGTCGACGTATTCTTAGTTCTTTGTAGTTTTGTGTCCTGTCCATAGAAAAATGGGTACGAAATCAAGAAAGGACTTGTTTTTTTTAAACCCAAAGGTCACTTTCCATTATTCAACTCTGTTTCACATTGACAGAAAACTAGCTTTTTGCTAGGTCCTTGACTTGTGAGAACAAATGCTAATGTTTTACTCGGGTGCAGTTCTCTCGGAATCGAGGTGTGGCTCGCATCGGCTATTGCTCACTTCCTTCTTTAGAGATGACACTGATAAAGTACTTTTGATCAAGGAACGCGGGGCTTGGCGCTAACTCTTAATAAGCAAGAAAGGTGACTGTCTCAACAGAGAGCACGAAGAAGAATGGCGTTGTCACTTCCTCTTTGTTCAACAGTGAGGTGTTATGAAAAAACAACAGAAAAATATCAGGCGTCTCAGGATATTAATAACCTTGACAATTTTCTGTCGCATCTTAAAGTACAAAACTGATATTGAAGCCATCTATTATATCTACCCAATGATAAAATTTACCAGTCTCTATGATATAAGTAATATCAATTTTGATTATTAGGTTGAAGTGTCTATTCCAAGCCTATTTTATATTTTCTACTACATGTTATTAGCATTCATCTAACTGAATAATTTTGAATCAGTGATAGTGATTGTATGATGCAGGGTATTTTTAAGCAATTTGAATGATTTATTTATGAAGGATGCTGGAAAGGGAAGGAACCCCGGGAGATTCCAGAGCCTGTACCAGGAGGCAGTGCTATGGGCTGAAGGCCATGGCTGTCTTCGAGCATGCAAATATCTCCTGGGAACAAGACATGGCGTGTACAGATATAAATAACAAATGTAAATAACAAAACTGTGACAATATTGCCTTTTCCCAGTATAAACTTTACACTGGGACTAGGAAACATAAGGAGCCTTGATGAGGGTCATTTTATAGAGGTCACGTCCAATGGTCCTCAACTTTAAAGGAAGCAGATGAACATCCACAGTTCTCAGCCTGGCAGTCAAGACCCCACTTCCAATCTGGCCTAACTCAGCTTTCAGGTTATATCTTCTGCCACTTCCTCTCCATTACCCTATATTGCTCTCAAACTAAAAACTTTGCATCCCATGTTTATCTACTGTCTCTTATGAATGCTACTTCCTTCCACTGGAAATGTCCTTCTTTTAGGAAAAGACTCCTTTAAAAAATTCAATTATGCCAGGCAGTGGTGGCGCATGCCTTTAATCCCAGCACTCTAGAGGCAGAGGTAGGCAGATCTCTGAGGTTGAGTCCAGCCTTGTCTACAGAGCAAGTTCCAAGGCAGCCAGGGCTACACAGAGAAACTCTGTCTCAAAAAAGAAACCCACAAAAGCAAAAACAAACAAAAAATTAAATTATGTGTATGTGTTGTGGAGGTGCTGTGTATGTGAACACAGTACCCAAGGACTATAAGAGCAAGACCCACTCTTATCCACTGAGACATCTCTAGTCCCAAGAAATTTTGTAATCTTCCCCTTCTAAACCTGAGCCATCAGCCTATTTATGTCCCAGGTGTCTGTATGTGTCTAACACAGAGGAAGAAAAGGATGCTAGTGTGAGTGGCTGCTGAATGATGTTTTCCTGTTGGGTGGAGGTTTGCTGACCTGAATACTTGAGAACAATGAGTGACAGTGCCAATTGAGCATGAAGAAAGATGATGGCGACATCTCCACAGTATCCTTTCAAGAGATCCTTACTGGTCCTTCCACTGTGAACACATCCCCCTCTGTACCCATGAGCTGCATTTTGATTCCATGAAAAACTGTAGCAGTGGTTATGAAGGGTGCTTTAAGGAGAACTGAAAGGTCTATGAAGTCTTGTTTTCCTCTCAGGAGTGCCACACTTAATAAAAGAGAGTCATAGGAAGTATTCTAGGAAAGCCTGGATGATTTTGAGGGGACATTATGTTTTTGCTCACCTCTTCATAATAATAAAGACGAGAGAGAGGAGAGACATGAAGGGAAGCCATATATCAGTCATTTTGTAGGTAAAGTAGAAGCCATGGAACTTATTCAGGTGGGAAGTATCATAGCAAGAAGCTGCCCAATGAGGGCAGGCTACAGAGGTCTTTATGATATGTACTCCAGGAGATATTTGAAGGAAACATTCCTGAGGAGTCAGAAGGAGAGATTACCATTCACAGTAGTCCAGATGTGATTACCATTCACACCAGCCCAGATATGATTACCATTACAGCCCAGGTGTGATTACCATTCACACTAGCCCAGGTGTGATTACCATTCACACCAGCCCAGATGTGATTACCATTCACACCAGCCCAGATATGATTACCATTCCAGCCCAGGTGTGATTACCATTCACACCAGCTCAGGTGTGATTACTATTCACACCAGCTCAGGTGTGATTACTATTCAAACTAGTTCAAGTGTGATTGCCATTCACACCAGCCCAGGTGTGATTACCATTCACACCAGTCCACAGGGAAGCAGTAGAGAACCCACCAATGAATCCTGTACAGACGGCCTAAGTTTCGATAGCTGCTGATTTGAGAGCATCTGCCAGGAAGGAAACATCTGGGATTAAATAAGAGCTTTCCCCTGGCCGCCCCATTCTCTGAAGCAGGTGAAAAGTAGGTGACAAGCAGGTGATTACACCAGGGAACCACAGAGGCAGCCAAGCCCCCCTCTCCTACTGCTAGTTCCAAGCCACTGAGCCGCTCACATCGAAAGGTGAGATCATTTCAACAACTGACACTGACCAGGAAATGATGATCTACCTGGGCTGCGACTAAGCTTATGGGGACGGGAAAACAATGTCTGAAAGCAAAGGGGGGTGAACAAACAAAAGGAGCTGCTTCTCACTTTTAGCCTCACCGTCTTAGGCTTCCTCAGAGTTCAGCCCACTGATTGAATGTGCTGCCTGATTGTCAATTGTTGGATAAAGTGCTTACCATCCTAACAGGACAGCTTCTGACCTGTCACCCTTCTGAGAAACTCTTCTAGAGGTAGCTATGGCCCTGGATAGAGTCATCTCCATCTCCAGCTGAGCCAGTGCTCGGAGGAGACACTGAGTTCCACAGGGCAAACAACAGACGAGAGTCGGCAGGGTTGTACCACGGAAAGGGGTGTGGTAGCCCCACTTCTATGTCAGTCAACTCCATAACCGATACCATGCAGGCGAGTGTGGGAAAGCCCAGAATAACTCCATTCAATTCTGAAGCAAGATTAGAACTGTTGCCCGTGGTTTTGGGTTTCTGAAGAAACCAACCTTGTTCAACCCATTTTGATTCTTCCCAAGTGCTCACCAAGATGGCGAATCTTCCCAAAAGATGGAAGAGAAGGGTTCATTGTGAGATCATTCAGCATATTGTGAGTGTGCTGTTCCCTGTACTGTGATGGGCCCTCCATAAGCATCATTTTAGCTGAAGTGCAGGACCTGACAATGGCATTCCACTCAAGGAAATTACTGTTTCTTAAATAACTTAAAGATCACAGAGATTGGGACATGTGCAGCTAATAATATAAGACATGATATATTTTTTTTAAAAAGTAAAAAAGAAAAAAATGATACCAGGAGGGAAGTCAGTTAAGAAAATGCACACCGTGAAGTCCAACTTGACCCTAATCTGGGTGGGAGTTTGTGCTAGCGACATGTTTGCCGTCTTCAACAAGATCCATTCAGACTACATCAAGAAAATACAGGAAGGAGATGATCAAAAATATATTTCTTGCACACTGAAGGGTCAAACATGAGATTTCTTTGTTCTCAAGCAGCCAGCCCCTCTCTCTTCTTGAGTCCAGCTCTTACACTTTTAATCTGTTGGTCTCAGCTCACCTGTGGCAAATGTCCCAAGAGGTGATGCCACAGCTGAAGTACCATCATTTATGCCTGTTCGCTTGTCTCCCCATAGCTAATGATATCAAACTTTCACTGGCCCTTCAGCAAGTCTTTTAAATAGAAAACATATTGATGTAACACAGCTTTAAGACAGTCCAGCCAGCTCCATTAAGACTAAATATTGCAGTAGATAGGAGGAGGCCACTTGGAGACAATTAGGTGTGAGCAGGCATCCCTCCATTACACACATGCATCTTTTACATAAACCTCACCAAATGGCAGTAACCTTTTCTGCCTGTGATCCTTTGGAGACTCTCATGGAAGATATGCATCCAGGGAATCTCATGAGGCACACTCAGAGCTTTGCTTATAGATTTGGTGAATTTATGGCCACCTTGAAATTTGGCTTCCATGATTTATAATTTCTAATTTAAGTGCATCAAATTATTTTAAACAATTAAAGACTATAATTTGAAATGGCAATTACTCCCCTGTAGCAGGCCCAGTGTGAGGTTTAGTGAGAGATAAAAAGTGGAACAAGGCAGGGTTTCTTTCTCAGAGAGTTCACAGTCTGCAGGGTTGCATGTGTGAACAATATGGTTTAATGTACGACATCCTGCAGGAGGCCATCAATATAAATGATACACTGTGAGAACTGAGAAAAGGGGTGATTAATTTTAGATAAAATATAGCATCTCATAAGTTTGTATTCTTCTGCATGCAATCTAATAACAAATGTCATCATCTTCATTTTAAGAAAATCTGGATAATTGGAATTTTCCTGCCTGGTTATAAACAATACTGCTCTCCAAGCTGGTTCAGGAGTCCCACTGTGTCCTTTTAAACTTGGGAAATCTCTATTGCAAAAGCTGCAGACAGAGACCACAGGCTTTAGGATCAGACCCCCCCTTTGTTCATATCATTGCTGTGCTACTCACTGTGTCCTTAAAAAAGAGAGTCTACTTCAACATGTTTATTCATCTGCAAAACTTACCTGTTTTGCATTGGTTTTTAAGGAAAGAAAGATAGTACTTATAAAAATACTCAGCACCATCTATGGAGTTTAATGGATTCCCAAACCAGTAATCATTTTCTTCTAATAACCAGCAATATAGATTTCTTGATAGAAATATTAGGAGTCTCTGATATAGAAAAAGTTAAAATACCCAGTGTAAAAATATCAACCAGCTAGTTCCACAATATCACTGCATCACAACTCACCCCAAATTCAGTGACTTATGTCACCAAGCAATTACTCTCCCAGTGTATGGGTCTAGATGTTGACTGTCATTCAGCAGATCTAGATTTCTCAGCTGTGCCACTATGCTTTACACTGTAAATAGTTTATTTCCATCAAGTTGAGCTTAGGTCAACTCCAACTTTCTCATTCTAGGGCCACAGTGAAGGGCTAGACGGTATATTCAGCAGAGTCTGACATGGTGAGCCATGCAAGATTGTTTGAAACTGTTGCTAACATCGCCATGATCAAAATCATGCCAGTGAGCCCCAAATAAATGCCATCTCTGTCAAACCAATTCCCCAATCTCCCATGGTTCTTGTGTTGAAGAGGGACAAAAACTGTAACGAGCATGTGTGGGAGAGTGTATCAGTGGGGTAGGGTGACATCTCCCAGAGCTGTGGTGGCACCTGTGCCGAGTGCCCACAACCTCCTCATGAACTTCATAGCTGCATCTTGGATGATGACATGTAGAAGGCCTTCTAAACTCTACAGCCTCTGCCTCCTGTGACTTAGATGCAAGTTCACTGCAGTTCTTCATCACTGGCCACCTTCCACATGGTATATGCACTTGTATGATCATCCACATTGTATGACCACAGTCCACTTCTTAGTGCGCTCCAATAGTGACTTCTGACACCAACTACACAAGTAGACCAAATATCACAGGTTGAGGACACAGCCACAAAAATGGCTTCACTTCAGACACCAGGGACAACTTTTGGTATTCTTAAACCAACTGTGTTTTGACTAGCTATCTACAAGTTAGAGGCTCCTCTACCCTCCATCCTATATTCAACAATTCACTGATTCACAGAATCCACACAAGTGTAGTATTATCATGGTTTTATTTATAGAAAAATGATACAAGTTAGAATTAGTCAAGGGGAGAGACATGTGGGACACACTCTTGGAAGGATCCTAAAGGTTACTTCTGCTGTCCTTCCATTGTGAAATCAGGATGCTTTACCCTTCTGGCACACACATGTGTGATAATGTACAGAATACTGCCAACCAGAGCTCAACTAAGTTTCCAGGTCCAGGGTTTGTACTGAGGTTTCATTATCTAAACACAACTGATTGAATCATTTGCCATGAGGCTGAACTCAATCTCCAGCTCTTCCCCTCTTCCACATCAGGCAGATATGTAGCCTGAAGACTCAGTTTTACAGATGGTCTATAGGGTTGTGGCCAGTTTTGCTACACCACCCCCCAACCCCCTCTCCACTTCTGGGTTAGGCAGATATATAGGCTGAAGCTCCAGTTTTCCTGGTGGTCTATAAGGTGGTGGCCAGCTGCATTTCTACATGACATTGTTAGCACCAGTTCTCTTCAAAACCACAGTCATCTTTTAAAAGCTGCTTTCAGACTTATTGTGTGTGTGTATGAGTGTTTGTCTGTCTGTGTGTATATACACCACATGTGTACCTAGAACCCACAGAGGCCTGAAGAGAAGAAGACCCCCTGGAACCTGGAGTTATAGACAGTTGAGAACCACTCTGGGAACTGAACCCAGGTCCTCTGCAAGAACAACAGGCCTTCTTTAACTACTGAGCTATCTCCCCAGACCCTAGCATCAGTCATCTTAGCATAAACTGTCAGGGCCCATTGTGAAAAAGAAAGATGTTTCTCTCACCTAGCAACTGCCAAGGACTCAGAGGATGTATCTTAGAAACTAGGGACAAAAGCCTATCCTATTCTTTTTAAAAACAACCTTTTAAATTCATTCTTTGACAGTTTCAAGCAATGTCTTTTTATTACATTTCCTCCCTACCCGACCCCTTCCAGCCCCATCCTCCACCTCCTAAGCTCATATCCTCTTTGAAAAGAAACCGTCATGTCCAGTTTGTGCTGCCCACATACTCATGGGTGTGGGGCCGCCCACTGGAGCATGGCCAACCTGCCATGGGTCACACCCTTAAAGAGAACTGACTCTTCATCAGAAGCCATAACAAACTGTCAGTAACTCCTTGACTAGGGATGTGAGCTCATGGCTTCTCTCTCTCCATGCTACGATGTTGTCTTGCTTGATCTTATGTCATTATATATTATTTATATAGCAGAGCTGCTATAAATTCATGGATACAGCGGTCCATGTCCAAATGACATTGTTTCAGTCTGGTCCTCCCAGACATCTGGTTCTTAGAATCTTTCAACCACCCTCTGCGGTGATAGTCCCTGAACCCTGTGGGTGGCAGAATATAGATGTCCCGTTTGTGGTTGAACATGCCACTTATTCTCTGCCCTTTGATCAGTTGTGAGTTTCTGTGCTAACTGTCATCCACTGCACAAATTTCTCTGATGAGGACTGGCGGAAAGGGAAGGTGTAAGTTGGATGGGAAGTTAGGTCAGAGGTTATGGGTAGGAGAAGGGATAATTAGCACTAAAGATATTTGAAAAAGTCATATGCAAGCCCACTATTTTATAAGCTTCATATATATTTATAAAATGTATATTTACATATTCATACAGAAGTATTAGAGTTACCTTACATAAGAGATAGTATTCCTAGAAGTCATAGGTTGCCAAATGAAAAGCACAGTGTTAGGTATGGGATACTTCTCAGTTTGTTCATTATGAGTATCCAAGAGACACCCTCCAAAACAATATAAGCTATTGACATTGCTCTGGTTTCCCACCACAACTTGATGGTAAGACCCTGTTGCTGAAGACATAACACATTTTGATCATAGGACATAGGAAAGTCAAACTGATACAGACAAAGAAGCTTCCTCCTTGCTAGACAGCTTTCCTAGTGGTAGAAAGTGCCATGCAGGCTGCTGAGAGAAAAGCCATCAGCAGATGGCTGTGAACATTGTGAACTACAATAATGACCGGAACTGCAAGATTCCTCCATGAGTGCAGTAGGGGCACACATGTTTTAGAGGTAACCATCCACTTTCTGCTTGTAACTAAGGACCAATCCACGGGAAGAAATATAGTGTGCCTGATACTATAAATATGGCTAAGAACTCATGGTTGAGGAACTCACAGGCCTCAGGATAAACTTACTACCTGTATTTTGCTAAATGGATATAGGATCAAACTGTACTCTAAATTAGTATCTTTGTGCCCATCATATTCTTTGGTAATAAAATTACCAGTCTCTGTGTATCCACTGGACTTAAAACTTGGAAGGCAGAGTAAAGTGACCCTGCATATGCCACAACCTCTAACATTCTCCTCGGAAAACACATTGAAATGTAACAGTAATGCCTCCTGTAGTTATAGAGCTTTAGAATAAATTAGTTGGAAGGGCCTTTGAGAAGCACTTGAACATTATGTCATACTCTTACTTTACATGAAGTACCAGAGAGCTTTCATTACTATCCCAGATCACATAGTGAACAGAAATCTACTTTAGAGTTTTATTATCCCAAAGTTTGCATCAATTCTCTCCCACCCCATCTCTACATGCATGACCATAAGCTGAAGTACATGTGCTCTGATTTCTTAAAATTAGAAAGAAACAAGCTGAGAAAGGGGATGAGATGAATAATTGGAAGGCAAGGATTAAAGCATCAATTACGTAAACCTTTAAATAAGATGTTCTGAATGGTTAGCCCTCCATGCCTCTTTCCTTCTCTGTCCTGAAAGGCAGAGCACATGCCATGCTCATTGGTTTGTTAGAGCATGAAGCATCTACAACGGATGTCGTCATATTTTTTTAAAAAAAACTTGTTCTTTTTTTTGCATTTCTAATCACTTTAAATGACAAACCCCAGATTTGAAAAGTCAATATATTTTAAAACCATTATCCAAAAACAAAATTTTTATGAGCCCACCTCCTCTACCAGACCAAATGGAATGTGCAGTAGCAATTCCCCCTGACCTGTGTATACAGAAAAGAAACAAGCACAGCTTAAGATCTATCACAGTGCCTGGCACATTGAAGTACTTGGATACTATTGGTTCAACAGCAGAGTGTATGCTTTCTTTTAATTACCATACAGAGATGAGTTAAGATGGGTGACTACTTAAACCCTCATTCCGAATATACACCTTCCTCCTTCATGAGAGATGCTGGTACTGCTCATTTCGTTTTATCTATCATCCCTGCTGGATCCATAGAAAAAATATGGGCACTGTGCGGTATGATAAATATATCAATTACAGGACCTTTCAGCCCATTACGCTTTAGTTCTGAAAGTAAAACCAAAGCACAGAGGAGACCAAGATTAGTAGAAATGGATACGCAACGACATAATGGCTGGTGTAGGTGTAAACCTTCGACTGGTGTTTTCTCAAGCTGAATCTTACTCAGAGTCTCAAGATGTTACGCATCTCGTCTTTGATCCTCAACAACAAAATTGTAAAGGGAAAACGTGTGCCTCTCTTTCAGTGAGCATAAATCACGCCTACCCGAAGCTGGCTCCATACAGACCAGCAGGACAACTGCTTTCTCCTCAGCTGCTACTCTCAGTCTTCCTGAATTCCTGTTTCACCTGCATTGTACTGGTGTCTGCCTTTCTCTCCGTGAAGCAGCAGCCCTGGTACTGTGAGGTCTATCGGTACAGGTGAGTTCATTCCCTTCGGTTTCTGTTCTGAAATTGATATAAGCAGTGCACAGTGACATCATCTAACCCAGTGTCAACACAGACTCTAAAATAATACTTGCATACTGCAAATCATAAATGATAGAACAGAATGCATTTAACGGGTAGCATGCTGGGTGAGCATGTGGAGTGGGCAGGGAAAGGTCCGTCACCACGGTTGCTGATGAGATGCTCTAACGAATAGTTGACTGAATGTATCCATTCCTTGGGGTGTGGATTTCATGTAGAACGAGGGTTGGTAAACACTCCCTGCACGGAGGCAGGGAAGAACATCTCAGGTTTTCTGAGGAGGATGGTTTTGTTGCAACTGGTTAATGATGCTATCATCGTACAGGAGCAGCCATAGGCAATATGTAAACTCAAGCTTTCTTTTTCCTGAAGAAGTATTATTCGCCTTTTGAACTCAAGCATGTACCATGAACCTAATGGCATCGGATCCCCAGAGCACAGACACATGAATGGAGAACCAGCAAGTGGTATTTAAGGTCTTCATTCAGACCCCAAAGTCAGCAGTTCAAGTGTGACTTAGAATATACAGTCCTGTGTAGTTTCAGAACCAGAAGTTCCCCCAGTTTGGAGCAAATACACACAGAGAAATACGACCGTGGTTGGAAATAGGAGGAAGCAGGGTGGAGCCATAGAGGCATGGCCAGGAAATCAAGATGGCCCTGGTTCTATACTTGCACCTCACTAGCCCTCACCTTCCTCATCAGCAACATAATTGGACAGAATTAAATACTTTTTGGTGTTAAGCTCTGAAATCCAGGGCATCTACCTATCAACCCACCCATCTCAAGAATGCTGGCTCTTTGCAAACAGTATTTAGCAAACTACTATATACAAAGCACATTTATTGATCTTAAGATCCCAAGATATTAAGAATTAAATCTGGCTGGGCATGGTGATGCTTACCTATATTCCCAGCACTTAGAAGTCTGAGGCAGGAAGATCATGAGGTCAACACCAACTTCGGCTATGTAGCACGACATTTTCTCATTCTGTTAGGGTTTCTGTTGTTGTGATATACTACTATGACCAAAAGAAACTTGGGAAGGAGAGGGCTTATTTTCTGCTTATACCTTTAAGATCACACTCTATTGCTGAGAGAAGTCAGGGCAGGAACTGGCAGAATCTGGCAAAACCTGGAGGCAGGAACTGAAGCAGAAACTATGGAAGGATGCTGCTTACTGGCTGGCTCTTCATGGCTGGCTCAGCCTGCTTTCTTATACCACCCAGGACCATCTGCCCAGGGATGGCACCACCACAATGAGCTGGGCCCTCCCACAACAATTACCAATCAAGAAAAAGCACTACAGGCTTGTCTACAGGTCAACTCGATAGAAGAATGTTCTCAATTGAAGTTCCCTCTTTCCAAATGACTGTAGCTTGTGTCAGGTTGACATCAAACTAACCAGCCACTATTTCAAAGGAGGAGGAGGAGGAAGAGGAGGAGGAGGAGGAGGAGGAGGAGGAGGAGGAGGAGGAGGAAGAGGAGGAGAAGAAGTCTCCTTGCATTTGTTACATTTGAGTTCATGTTTGGAAAATAAGTTATAAGCAGTTGAAAAGTAATTTAAAAGTTTCAAGCTAAACAAGAAAGCAAATTAAAACCATTTTTTGGGTTTCATTATTGTAATAAAGGAGAGCATTGCAAATAAGTCAATCAGAGCTGACAAAGCCTGGATCTTAAAGACATATTTTGCTGAATAAATATTGTATGATCCCACTATGCTAGATGCCAAAAAATGTTGTAAATTAACTAATATAAAAACACAAAAGCAACTCATAATACATGGATGAAAATTAAAAAATCTTAACCAAATAATTTCAAAATACTGAGCTAAATGCAGCAAGAAGGAAGAACAGAGGAGAGGAACTAGAACTGATTCTCATCCAAAGTGAGTTAGATATAATGAGGGTTGAAGAATAAATAATACTGCAATTAATGGGAACTGCACATCCAACTCAAAAAAAATGTGTAGTATTTCAGGAAGAGCAGATACTGTGTTAGGACAATAAGGGGTCTTGGTAGGGAGCTTGCAAAAGGTAAGACCAGAAAGCTAGGTTGGGGGCAGAATGTGCAGGTCTTCTAAATCAGGCTGAGAAGTCTGAGCTTACCTTGTCAGTTTGCTAGAGCTGGAGATACCTCACAATCGGAAGGGCTATGCTGGGTCTTTTACTATGATCCCTTAGCTACTGAGGAGAGTGTGGAGTAGGGCCACACCTCAGGATGCAAGTCAGGAGGCTTACATCAATAAATGAAAGAGAATACACACTCACACACATAATACACACACACACACACACACACACACACACACACACACATACACACACACACACAAATATACACAATACATACATATACATATATATGCATATTCTCATACATACATATCCACAAACATAAACACATACACATGCATTTACTATTTGATTTGACAGGAATTACATAGAACAATTTCTATGGATAGTTGACAGATTATCTTCTCTATCTGGGGGACAGACAGGATGATCTTGATTTCTTTTGAATTTTATTTCTGCTTTGTCATTGTAAGACGTGAACAAGCTATGTCTTGTCAGCCACCAGCAGGAGCAGGTTAAAAAGCTGAAGTCACCTGGTAATCTAATATTAAATTACTTTGTCAACTAATGGATTCTTAAAAAGTATAGAACTATTTCATAAATCCTGACAATTCTTTCATAGTGAATGCTTTCTGACCAACCAAAGTAACTTCTCAACCAATATGAGTTTGGAGCGAAACTGGACTGGAAACGCGACTCTGGTTCCTGCTTCCGTTCTAAGTTTTGAGAGCACTACCATGTGGCCCATCGTCACCTTCAACTGCATCTCTGCCGCATTCATTTTTTCTAAGGGAAAGCCATTTCGGGAACCCATCTACACAAACTGTAAGTGGTTCCATTCTGAGTCTTTTTCTGTTCCCGCTTCCTTCCCCGAGTCATAGTTTACCAGCAAATGGGATGTTGCCTCTCTCTGGCATGATAACGGAATAAAACGGCCTTAGACAGGAGAGCCTGAGGGCAGTAACCTGCTCATTTGAGGATGCACAGTCATTATTCAATGGTCAAATGAGTCATCTACAATCGTTTGATACACAAGCTTAGATGTCAAGAGATTCTGTAGAAGGCCTTTAAGAAACTCGCAAAACCTCTTAGTAGCTTCATAAAGCCAGAGTGGTTGCATTAAGTCTCTTATGCCCCCGTTTCTCTCATGTGTAGAATGGAAATGTTATATGACCTTCAGTCTTATGGTGAGAATTAAAACAAAGCATTTTATGTAAAAAGTCTAGTGCAACACATAAGAATGTCCCCACATTTATAGCATATGCTTTTAAAAAAAGCCTTACTTCTTCAATACATTTCTCTAAGCAGAATAAAGGCAAGTCCAAAACAAAACCCCCAAGGTGTTTGGAGCTACACTCACAACCTCTAGGCAGGAAAGCAAACAAGCTGGAGTATGTCCTTCCACACTTTTGGACGTGGAAGCAGACACTGTTAGTAATTATGCCAGCTCAAGCAGAACCTTAAGAAATCCAGATGCGTGGGCGTCTTGTCTACCACACAGCTGGCTTTGCCATGTGAACATTGTAAAAAACTCCATGTCAAAGCATACTCATGCCGCATGCGAAAGTGGCTAAATTGCTAGAACCCTTGCCTCGCATGCCCCAAACCCTGAGTTTAATCCCCAGTACACATGAACCAGGAGTGGTGTCACATGACTACAATCTTAGCATTTAGGAGGCAGAGGAAAGAGGGTGGGAATTCAAGGTCATTCCGGGCTATGTGGTGAATTTGAAGCAGCTTGGGTTACAATGAATAAAAACAAAGCAAAACTCCTATAAATCATTTCAACTGACCCTACGATTTCCTTAAGCAAACCAGTCCAATTATTTGGTGAAAGCAGGTGAAAATGTTTCAGCTTTTGAGATATGATTTATATTGATTTCCAGGATATTTGTAGTAGTTATCATTGTTGCTTTTTAGATGGTCATTTTATAACAGTATTCTCGCGAAGGGATGTGAAAATACTGTACTAAAAACAAACTTTTGCTTACCTGATAAGATTTTTTAGAGCATGGTACTTCATCTAGTGTTAATTTGGCTTTTTATCTTCAGTGAAGGGGAATACAGATCTGTATTATTAACCATGTCATCTATGGCTTATCTGTGTACATTTTAATCTATTTTCATATTAGATTTCTGCTACTTTCCTTACTTATCTATATGAGCTGTTTATTCCTTTGTAGTTATTTTTTCACATTACCTTTATGTAGAGAAAGGTTTTTCTAATTACAAAACAGAGCAGATTACACTCATTTAAAAATATTTTAAACGCTTTTTAAATTTTAATACAACATGATATGATTACTATGTGAGTCAAGTTAGTTTACCCAATTAATCAATGTTTAGCAGATTTTTGTTCTATTGAATATCTAATATTTCTTTCATTCACTTATCCCCCCCACTAAGAATAATACCAGCTTCATCATATCTATGTTCATGTAAGTTACTGTTTAATTCTAGGTAACTTGTATTAGATACTGTACCTTTGTGTTACCTCCATATGGTACGTATTTTTGCAGAGTTACTCTGCTTTCACACTGTCTTTTCTATCTCACTGATACTATGCACAATGGCACTTTACTAAGCATAGTTTCATGGTTTATTTAATAAGCAGCCTATGGGCAGTATATTCTCATTTCTTTTATTTTTTTAACACTATCTCACTTTCATGTTTTTTTTCTTCCAAATGAATTGTAAAATAAAGTGTCCAGCTTCAAAATTTCTCACTTGGGATCTTGACACTTTGGGAAGAATTTATGGATTTGTATAATTTAATCTTCCCATATAGGAGCAGTCCACACTCATTTGTTATTTTCTTGTTATTGTGACCAAGGATGCGACAAGAAACAGCCTGATGGAGGAGGCCCTTGTTTGTTGTACGGTTTGAAGGGACACATCATCAGGGCCAGGAGGGCACAATAGCAGAAACATGCGATGGTTGGTCTTGCTGTGTTCACAGTCAGGAAGCGAAGTTGACAGGAAGTGGGCCTGCACTATAGAGATATCTCCAGGCCTACTCCTACTGACCTGCTTCATCCAATGGTGCTCCACCTCCCTAAGGTCCCACAACCTTCCAAAGTAGTGCCCACCAGCTGGGACCAAATTCAGATGACTGAGCCCGTGGGGGATATTTTACAAGCAAAACATACCACGCCTCACCTTTATTCCCATTTTTTATCCATTAATGTCTGTAGTTTATTCCACTATAGGTTCTGTACTTTAAGAACCTAATCCTGGCCAGGGGGCAGTGGCACACGCCTTTAATCCCAGCATTCGGGAGGCAGAGCCAGGCGGATCTCTGTGAGTTCGAGGCCAGCCTGGGCTACCAAGTGAGTTCCAGGAGAGGCGCAAAGCTACACAGAGAAACCCTGTCTTGAAAAACCAAAAAAAAAAAAAAAAAAAAAAAAAGAAAATACTTCTAATCAAGAGGGATTTTTAAAATCCGGTTAGGAGACGGACTTCAACAATGGCTTACCACCATCTACCAGGATGAATACTCGTTTTTTGTATTTTCTTATCCAGTGTACAGATGTGTTATATTAATCATTTTGTTATTAAATCATATTCTTGAAAATATCCTACTTACTTGTAGTAGATTAAACTTTTACTAGATTGAATTTTGTAGCTTTTTTAAGAACTACATTTCATGCTGTATTTTTCAGAAGGCTTTTTTTTGCACATTTTTGTTATGTTTAGCTTTTAGACAAAAGCTTGACTTTTTTTTTCCTCTGTGAAGATTTTAATACACAAGAATGATTTCTTCCTTGACATCTTACAAAAATCTAGCAGTAAATTACTTGGCTCTAAATCCTTCCTTTGAGAATTGTTTTAAGGATTGATTTGGGTTATAATGTTTTAAATAATATATTTTTGCTCACATAATACCATTTCATTGATGTTATCAAACTTTATCATACAGTTTGGGGTAGGATTTTTCTTAAAGTTTTAATTGCTTTCTGTGACCCTTACTATGGTCTTGATGAGATGTATGTATGTATTAACCAGCTTTCACTAAATGTGACAAAATACCTAAAAAAAAATTTTAATGGATTTTTATTTTTAACTTCACCTGTGGTTACTCAGGTCTATGTGTCTGGGGCTTCAGTGTGGGGGAGATATTGACAGGGAACACAGGGTAGAGCAAAGCTGCTCATCTTCTGCAGGGCAGGAAGCAGGAGGAAGCAGAAGGGAGTGGGCAAGCTGAGGCATGGGGGTTGGGGGAGGCGAGAAAGGAAACGGCCCGAGTGGGGTGGGGGAGCCAGGGACAGCACGTACCTTTCAAGTGCACAGTCCTGCTAACTTGTCCTGCTGTCTCAATTTTCTACCACCTGACAACAGCTCATTAAGCTGTGAGCCTGCCAGAGGGATAATTCCTGGTTAGCTTAGCCCCCTCCTTATCTACCCGCCCCTTAAAGGTACACCTTTGTGCTGCGCTGGAGACCACGCCCTCGATTGCTGAGCCTTTGGTGGATGTTTCAGATCCAAATCACAGGAGTGTTGCTCTTTCTTTTTCTTCTTGCCTTAAATGCACTTTTTCTTTTCTTTCTGTCTTTCTTTCTTTTTCTTTTCTTTTTTTTTTTTTTTTTACTGGTTAGTAACAAAATAGCTCTCAGACTTTTAATTCTGTATTGGTTTTGATTTTCTCATTTATTAAGATTTGTTTTCCCTTCTTTCCTTGAATCTGTTTTGAGTTAACTTCATGGTCCATGTATGTCTCTTCATCTTTTTAAGAGTAGGAAAACATTCAAGACTAGTCATTGATTCCTTCTTTATATGTTTCCCTACAGTAACTTAGACCTAGTTTCTTCTTTCGCTTAACACTTTTCAGAACAATTAATTTTACTTGTTGCGGGGGCGGGGGGCGGGTGTCAGATTTTTCTTTCCTTTTTTCTTTTAATAGTTCATAAACATATATTTTGTTTCCTTTTTGAAATAATAGACTTTAGTGAGTTTTCTTATTTGTATACCTGGAGTGGAGGGGTGCATTTCAGTTAAACTCAGTCACAAATGTGTGTTTTGCTAGTTGTGACTAGATGGCCTCACCTCCGACGCCTGCTTTGGAGTTTTGGTGTTCTGTATGTGAAGCTCCTGGCTCTAAGTTCTAAATATGCAGTTACTGTTGGAGCACTTTCATTCAATTATGTTATCCGGATTCTCTTTGTTCCTGAACAAGTTTGGCAAAGCTGTCCTCTCAAAGGATTTGAGATCATGCTGGTGCCTCCCTCTGATCTTTTATTTCCTGTCAACGTCAGAGTTTCTCATCATTTCCCTCAGTTTTGAAAGCAGTGTTTGAACGTACCCTTGACTCTTGTTGCAACAAATGAAGATTCCGCTTTATATTTTGGGGTTATTTCTTATAGTCCTGATTTCCAAGGTAAATGTATTTCACAAGTAGGATATTCTCACTATCTGGTACTTTAGTAGTGAATACAATACAGGGGACTTTCACACACAGAGAGTGAATTAGAGTTAGATTAGTTACAACATGGGGACTGGAAGCTTAAAGGAAAACTGCTCTCTCATGGTAGACACATCATCTTATCCAGTTGGGGGGTGTCACGTGTGTGCTATTGTGTGCATGTGGAGGCAAAGGACAGAAACCTGTGGGAAGGAGCCAGGGGACTCCAGGGATTGAACTCAAGCCCTTAGCTTTGGTGGCTGTCCTAGTTAGGGTTTCTACTGCTGTAATGCAGTGGTTCTCAACCCGTGGGTCATGACCTTCTTTGTTGGTGAATGATCTTTTCACAGGGGTTACCTAAAACCATTGGAAAACACAGATATTGATATTACAATTCATAATAATACCATAATTACAGTTATAAAGTAGCAATAAAAATAATTTTATGGTTTCGAGTCATCATAAACTGAGGAATCATATTAGAGGGTCGCAGCATTAGGAAGGTTGAGGACCACTGAAACACCGTGACCAAAACCAAGCTGAGGAGGAAAGGGTTTATTTGGCTTACACTTCCACATTGTAGCATAACATTGAGGAAAGTCAGGACAGGAACACAGACCCAGCAGGAACCTAGAGGCGGGGGCTGATGCAGAGGCCATGGATGGGTACTGCTTACTGGCTTGCTTATCATGGCTTGCTCAGCATGAACCCAGGACCACCAGCCCAGGGATGGCACCACCCACCATGGGCTAGACCCTCCCCCATCAATCATTAAGAAAATGCCTCACAGTCAGATCTTACGATGGCATTTTCTCAACTGCATTTCCCTCCTTTCAGATGACTCTAGCTTGTGTCAAGTTAACATAAACCCAACCAGGGCAGTGGCAAATATATTCAACTCCTGAGCCACATCACTGATGTAACTAATAATTCCAAATAATTCCAAATGAGAAAGGTTTTATAACCAAACATTCTAATACACATAATCTTTAATTTTTTTTTTTAAAGTGTGTGTATATGTGTGCGGCAGGGACTGTGCACATGTGACTGAAGGTGTCCATGGAGTCCAGAAGAGGGCTTTGGACTTGTGGGTGGTAGTGAGCCACCCTGTGTTGATGCTGGGAACAGAGCTTAGGTCCTTTGTAAGAGCAGTATATTCTCTTGAACCCCGAACTGCCTCTCCTGCCCCAATGCATAATATTACAGACGATAAACTTCTGAGTTAGAATTCAGAAGCCTTCAGAGGTACTAAGATGCATAATATAAGTGGTTTCATCTTGAGATAAGGAAAATCATGCTTTTCTAATCAGTGTTTGAGAGTTCAACTTTATGATGACAAGATACAGAAAAAGTATACACTCATTTTTTTTTCTGTAAACAAGTATGAGTATTACCAACCCTTCCTTTATTTGAAAACAGGTTACAGTGGTTATGCAGTATTTTCTTCTTAAATCACTTCCCTCCACAGGGCCCCATTCTTTATGAACAGCGGCTAACCACGGAGGGCAGACACTCTTGTTCCTTCATTGCATTTTTTTTTTTAACCAAAGCTGAAATAAGAAAGAGGGCCTGCTTTGCAGATCACTAGCCCGAGGACACATTGAACGTACAAGACTCAGCCAGTCACTAATAAGAATAGGACTTCAGCAGGACTAGCAGCTGATGTCGCCTTCCTTTTCTAGTTTCTGGGTCCTGGAAACTCGACAGTGGAACAAATGCAAAAACTACGTTGCTGTCTCCTGTGATCTTTGTATCACCATCATGGGCACTATTTGGGAGCATCTCTCTGTCTCTGTCTCTGTCTCTGTCTCTGTCTCTGTCTTTCTCTCTCTCTCTCTACCTCACTCTCCTAAGCAAGTGTGATCATTCTTCTGGGAATGTTTGGGGGAAATGCTAAGGGTGGGTACAGGTGCTTAAAGGTGAAACCGACCCTGGTGTCTTCAGAAACAGTTTCTGCGGACTCATCTCGGGTTTCTAGTTGGTCCAGATATAGAAAACCTAGATAGGATTTAAGAATCAGCTCTATCATGGTAACACTCAGTGGATTCTAGTGCTTGGAGCCTGAGGCTATAGCCCGATCCAAAACATTCCCAAGGCACTGTTTGCAGAGTTCTTTGGGCAGACACAGGAGTGGGTAGGCGTTTGTGCTAAAAGCAGGGATTTCAATACAATACAGTAGAGATGCTTATGTTCTAAAAGTCAAGCCGTTGTGGATACAGGAAGGGAGAAGTCCAGCAGCTTTGCAAATTTTTCTAACTTACCTTTCCCAAGTCAGAGTCCCAAAGCCCCAGATGCAGCCCTACTTCTGAGCAGCCACAACCTGGTTGAGAGATCAATTGCAATCATACAAATCAGAATGTGATGTGTGATATGAAATAAATTTTGTAAGGGAGAGTTAGGGAGTTGGAAGAAAAGTGGTACGTGAATTGGGCTTGTTACATGGAGGAAGTGAAATGTACCATGGTAGAAGGAATATTGCCTACACTGGGCACTTAAGGATCTCTTGATAGGAACAGAATGTGAGTGGGCAGAGGGGTTCAGAAAGGCTGATGGAAAAGGCTTTCACTGGAAAGCCCCGAGTGCCAGCAGCAGATTCTTGTACCTCATTCTCTTGGAACTGAAGAGGAAGATACTATCAGGACTGGGTACATCCTACGTGTGTGTCTCCCTAGACGGTGTGAGCATGAGCAGCGTTTTTCTGGTAACCATTCAGTCAGGCAGGATGTTTCCACCCAGGGGACACTCAGTCAAGATGATTCCTTCGTGGAAGTTTCTATAACATGTTTGATTCCATCTTTATGAGGAAAGATTTTAATATAACACCTTTATCTTATAAACATTAGAACATATTTTAAAGCATATGATGATGTATCAAAACATCTGAAAATACAGCTACCATTTGCCCAACATGAGCTGATTGCTGGCATGTGCCAAGTTATGTGAGGCATTCTCTCAGCACCTGAAAATAGTGTTTGGTGTTTCCTCAGATTTATTTTCCCTTCTGCTGACATCTGCTGTGGGCCTCACAATTTTCATTCTGTTTTCTGATTTTCAAGATCTATACCGTGTCATGGAGGTAAGTGTTGTACATTATACATCTGCTGTGACTAATACGTGCCAACACTGTGCTTGCGTTGCGGTTCCTAAGTCAATCATCATTCTCTCGGACTTGCTAAACAGTATGAACTTTTGTTTTTTAGAGGAGAAAACATTTTTGTATTTCACATACATTTTGATATTAATAGTGTCATCATTTTGGCATGTTCATAGTGTTCATGCCTAAAACATTGTTTGGAACCAGAAAGATGACACAGAGTAAACGTGTCTGCTACCAAGCCTGATGACCAGAGTTCATTCCCTGGAACTCGCATGGAAGAAGGAGAGAGCCAACTCCCATAAGTTGACCTGTGACATCTACATGTGTTTTGTGCCGTGTATGCCCTCCTACACACACACACACACACACACACACACACACACACACACACACAGAGAGAGAGAGAGAGAGAGAGAGAGAGAGAGAGAGAGAGAGAGAGTACATGCATGCTTGCACACTAAATGTAAAAGAAATATTTTAACTATCTTGTTTTAAAACTTTATCTTGTGGTATTTTATCAATACAGTGAAATTAATGCACTAACATGATAATTCTCCAAGCTTAACTGTTTAAAACAAAGTAAAAACATCATTTAAAATGTAACTGTAGGCCGGGCGGTGGTGGCGCACGCCTTTAATCCCAGCACTCGGGAGGCAGAGCCAGGTGGATCTCTGTGAGTTCGAGGCCAGCCTGGGCTACCGAGTGAGTTCCAGGAGAGGCGCAAAGCTACACAGAGAAACCCTGTCTCGAAAAACCAAAAAAAAAAAAAAAAAAAAAATGTAACTGTAAAAGAAAAGGGGTGGGGCAGTCTTATTATACCAGGAATTGACTGTAGAGAGTATTACCTAAGTGGCCACCATTTGATCTAGAACACACTAGTTTGAAATTAAATTCATCAGGAAGTTATTAAAGCTGTTCTTAGATCCAGTCTTGTGGGAGGCCTCTAAAAGCTGTCAGCCTATAGTTTTGTTTTGAAGACTAGCCATTCTTCACTGAGATGTAACCTGGCTGTCTGTCGCCATGCTTGAAGGGAATGTAAAAGTAAAGCTGGGAGAAGGTAGGAAGGAATTCTCACTGTTGCTGTGACAGCCATGAAGGCCTCATGGAAGAAACATGGGTTGGTGAGGGCCCAGACACACAGGCTGGATCTTGCCACGTCAGGCTGTTTCGGATGTTCAGAACTGCCTCAGCACCAGGAGAAAGGGCTGAGGATCTTCTGGTTTTCAAAGAACAACTTTGGTTCTGGCAACAGAACGAATGTGGATGGTAGCGATGAAAATCACAACAAGGCTTGCATTACAGAAGAGGTAGAAAGGTCTCTAAAACAGAGGCAGGTGCTGTGCTGGGGAGCGTGGAGCACAGGGGAAACTAACGGAGGCAGGCACCATCCAAGGCAGCCAGCCCTTGGAAGGACGTTTCAAACAGATTAATTAAGCAAGGGCAGGAAAGCAAGGCAATGGAGAGACAGGAAATGAAAACTCGGGCGATCCTTCCGTAGCCCATGAATTACGGAGCTTCAGAATGTGCTTGGTTCAGGAACAGAAGCTAAGTAAGATGTTGCTCTGAGTAATTTGGAAGTGAAGAAAGTCTGCTGTGAAGAAATCCAAACCAAGAACATTCCCAGGCCAGGGATGGAGAAAAGCCTTCCCCGTAACAGTGGAAGCAGCAATGAGATCTGAGTGGGCCGGGGTATGACCCAGCTTCTCCAAAGCCTTCCTTCCACCTAATGTGCTGTGCCTCAAAGCCCAGGTAGAGGCTGTCTCTGCTTGGAGAGACAAAGGACCAAATGGTGCCTTGAAACAGCCCATCCCAGGATGTGGATGAGACTTTGAAGTGAGTGGCTAGGCCAGTGGCTCTCAACCATGCTGTAACCTTTTCATACAGTTTCTCATGTTGTGGTAAGTCACCCCCCCAACCACAAAATTACTTTAGTTGCTGCTTCAGAAATGTAATTTGACTACTGTTATGAATTATTATGTAAGCAACCCCACGGGGGTCACGACCCACAGGTTGAGAACCACTGGGTTAGACACTGTGGGGGTGGAGGATTCTGTGATTTTAGACCTCAGATTCCTGCCCATTCAATCTGACTTTCTGTGCATCAGAAACTGGGCTGTATAGCTCCTGACCCACTGTGGGTGTGGCTCTCATATCTAATAAACAGAGATGTTGCCTGGTGAGTCTGTGACCCTGTAGTATTTTGTATGGGTTGTTAGACTTGCATGAAGCCGCTAGGTTTGGGACCAGTACAATTTGTCCAAAACATCATACTCAGTCAAAGCAACCTTAGTCTTTTGTCATGACTTACGATTTTTTTACCTACAAGTCAATTTTGCTGGAGGAAAAAAAAACAACAACAATGAATTCCATGTGAATTTTTGCTTTAGGAGCACAGAAAACTATAAGAATTGCAGAAGAATGATTTAATTTTATCTCCTCTCCACCATGTTTTAAAGCACAAATAAAGAAGGGCACATGGGCTCCAAAGTGTCCGTTGCTTCACTGCCCAAGGCGTCTTACTGATGAACCTGACAGACATCATCTGGCTATGGAGGAGCCTATTTTAGTTTAGATTCTGGCTTTGAGTAAGTCCTTGGACGAGGTGTGCCAGCCTTCAGCTTTCCTATCTGCAAAGTAGAGAAAACAATGCCCACCCTCCAACTTCAGGGTTATTACAAATACAGAAATTCTAAGCAGTAACAAGCATGGTGTACTTTTTCAAAATGTAAAACATACAGTATATAAGAGGTGGCCGCTCTTTTTCAACAGTTCATCCCAACCATCACATCATGGAGAGTTTCAATTCTGGTGGCAGCCTTTGTCCAGTTCTGCGTGATCTTCTTTGTGGAGGTAAAGTATTGGCTCCTATGATTTTTTTGTTAAAGGTAGATATGTAAATTCAGAGTCTCACTCTCAACATACATTCACTGTTTACAGCAACTTCTTCAGTCTCCCCAAAAGGGCCTTTTGAAGACTGAGCATGATCTTGTTGGGAGGAATTCTTTGGAGTATGGCTTAAAATTCTTAGAAGACTGCTGAGAAATATTCCTAGCGTCTTTCTCCGTAGAAAGCAAAACATCAGTTCAGTTCCAATGCTTGTCGCAAGGGGCGCTGTGTTTACTCCCTTCTCTTCTCAATCATCTAGAAGTGAGACCTAGGTGACCCAGCAGCTCTGAAACAGGAGGAGACGTTTTAGACAGAGTGAAGCAGCATCTTCAGGAGGGCTCCTCTAATGGGGGTGGGGGGGTGGGAAAGGAAGCCCACTTTCCTTGTCAGCAACTGTGACTCTTGGAGGCCTTCTCATGAGTGGTCTCTTCTAGTCAGAGCTGAATGGTTCACCCCCACAGTAGATGGTTTGGATGGTGCTTTTCAAAAGGAGTTAGACTCAAAAAATAAGTAAGTCCTTGGAGGGAAAAGACCAACGAAATTAAGTAGGAGTGTGTGTGTGTGTGTGTGTGTGTGTGTGTGTGTGTGTGTGTGTGTGCGCGCGCGTGCAAATTTCTCATACTCTTTCATCCAGGAATTCCACCCTTACATCAAATTTTTTAAATGAGACAGAAAAATTTTAAATCCTAACTTGTATGAAGAGATGTGTGATAGTGTTATCTACGGCAGCAAAATATAATTCGAATGATGTGTTTAAATGCTTATGCTGCTATTTGAAGAAATGCTGGAGTCTTTAAAGATAATAAGACAACTACAGCTTTAACTACAATAAAATATCTTGAAAGATATAATTACAGAGAAGTTGTATATGACAGAAAATCTAGTGTAAACAAAGGAAAGTACGATACAAAATTGGATTAATTCTACTGTTTGTAAAAACTGCATAAAGAAAGAATAAAAGGGAATGCAAAAGGATGGGATACAAAATAATTCTGAGGGACTAGAGAGACTTGGTAATTATGAGTGCTTGCTACTCTTGCAGAGGAACTGACTTTGGCTCCCAGCACCCATATCAGACAGCTTACCACCTGGGTAACTCCAGTTCCAGGTCATCGGACACTTTCTGGCCTCTGTAGATTCTTGTAGGCACATACACATGCTCCCACCCTAGCACACACATATGCATAAATAAAAATAAATTTTAAAAATATTTGATTGCTGCAGACTAATCCATTGAGTCAATATAATTTGGCACTTTGTATGTGACAAGTGGTAGGACTCCATTTCTTGGTTTTTCTTCCCCTTCCCTCCCTTCCTCTCTTCCCATCTCTTCTTTCTTCTGTTTTATTTTCTTGATATGTGATGTGTTCTTGTTAGTTTGAGCCCCCAGGGAAAGAACTGTCAGTAAATACTCAGCCAGGATTTCACCAGGAAGTCTGCAGAAAGGAAAGGCCTCTGGTGGTCAGCAGGTGTCTGTGTCTGGAAACATCTCAGCTCCAGGGGGGGGGGGGGGGGGGGGACGGGACAGAACAGCATCAGAGGCAGCTGCATTGAGCTCAGCAGAGAGGAAGCCCAGGGTGCCAGGCTTCCAGTGCTGTCCGGCTGTGAGGGGCTCACTCGCATAAGCACAATGGTTTCACTGTCACCCCTCCTCCGATTTTTCAGGATGCAATCCTTCAAAATAGAGAGCTCTGGCTGTTTATAAAGAAGGAATATGGATTCTACTCAAAAAGTCAGTACAGGATCTTGCAGAGAAAGCTGGCAGAAGACTCTACCTGGCCTCCCGCGAACAGGACGGATTATGCAGACGATGGCAAAAATGGATTCTACATCAACAAAGCCTACGAAAGCACTGAACAGGCCCCCAGAGGGAAACTCAGGCTGGGAGGGCACGCTGCAGAACAGCACTTTTGGACCAGACTATAACCTGAATAGCTGCCATGCTTGTTCCCCGACGACATCACCTTTTGTCTCCCAAACTAACTGTTGTGGAGAGGTAAAAATTGTACACCCTTCTCTTCTCCTCCATCTAAGCCTTCAAAGCACTTCAATATATCGAGCCTTGCAGCAAAGAACCTTGCATTCAATCTATCCTTCACTAGTGAGAGAAAAAAAACTGCATGTCTCAGATCACCATTTTAATAAACTATATTCATACTGCATTTTTTTTAACAGCATTGTTCTCATGCAATGAAACTAGATGTATGGACATCAAGTGAGAAGAAACATTGAGGAAGTATTTAGTATTTGAATATTTGACTGATGTATGAATTGACATTAAGTTTTCTTAATCTTATGTTAACTTGTGAAGCACGTTCTTGTATACATCTTGGCCCCGAATCATTGAATTCTCCCTGCTGTTGCATCTTTGGTATGACTTCAATAGAGAGAGAAAAAAAATGAATAATTCCACCCTGACTGCACAGAAAGCCAGAGTGGTGTGGAAGTGGAGAACAATAGAGATAGGTGGAAATCACTGAGAATCATGGTATGGGCGTGGTTAAAATGTAAGCAAACTACACCAACTCTGTACATTCCCAAAGCTTCTTGTATGGGGCCAGCGAACTTGACAGTTCAGAGTAGACTAAAGTAATCAAATAAACTGTTTAAATGTGTTTTTCACTTATAAAGTATGTGACTTTTGTTATTATTACCATTGATACACAAAAATATCAAATTCTAACTTTAGAAGTTTCCCTGAACTCATCTATGATCATCTTAAAAACAAAATTCTGAAGAAGGTTTTGATCCCCAGGATGAAGATCTGCTAGGCAGCCCATTTCATCATCTTAATTATCCAAATCATCGTAGACATCCATTAAAGACCACAGAAGAATGTGTTCTCCACACGAGTTAGTTCCTTTAATGTGTATCACCTGTGCTGTGAGCTTGAGCGGCAATATTTCTGGTGACAATTTGAAATTAACTACTAGGTTTTCCTTTAAATACTAAATCTGAGTTTGTTAATTCAACAGATCTTCTGTAATCATAGGCAATTTATCAGTTGAGTGCCATGAATATCAACTATGTGACTAGTACCACAATATATGGATTCACTATGTGATAGTTGTTGGTTTACCATTCTGAAATCTTTAGTTTTCAACATTTTAGCAAACTATGGCTGTGAATGGCATTCTGAACATTGCTACTCAAACCAGCAGCACCAATGGGCATACCTACACAAACAAATATGTTTGCCTTTAAGCTTTTTCTGTGTTCACAGCTGTTTGGAGAGTAATAATTTTTAAAGCTGTCTAATTTACTGGCTTTAACGATTAATAATCACGTAGGGAAGACATCTCTGGTGTGTCTGTGAAGATGTTTCTAGAATGTTTTTACTGAGATGGGAAAAGTTGCCCAAAATGTTGGTGGTGCCATCCATGGACCTGGTCCCTGATGGAATAAAAAATGAGAAAGGGTCTGAGCACCAGTGTTCCTTTCTCTCACATCCTGACTGTGGACACAGTGTGACCAGATGCTCCACACTTCTGTTGACATACCTTCCCATGTGACCGACTGCAATTCCTCTAAAACTGTGCACCAAGGAAACCGGCAATGCAAGAAGTAACTAATGCAGTGGCTAGCAAAAACAACAAAATTAAAAGTCTTTTAAAAAAAGATTTTAGGGCTGGAGAGATGGCTCAGCAGTTGAGCACTGCTGAGGGGCAATTTGGATGCCAGCACCCACACTGAGCAGATAACAGCTCTGGGGGATCTGGCTGGCACCTCTTCTGGCCTCTGCAGGCACACATGGTGCACATACGCACATAAAAAACAAAATAAATCTGTTTTTTTTAAAGCATGTTAGCTTATTATAAAAAAAATGTAAGGCATCCTTGAAACTATATGGGCAAAAGTTTCCTTTAGCTGCCAGTCCTACTCAGTAAATTAATTGACTCTTAAGAAAAAGATTCAGTTGATACAGTGTAACATTTAGATAGCAGATTTTATTTGTTATGTGTAGATGTAACACGAATTGCTAAATGGTCTTATTAATAAAAAAAAAAAAAACCAGAATCAGATATTGGAGTGAAAGCTGAAAGATCAGAGGGACAGAACAAGCCAGCCACAAGTTCTTACCACTAGGAAATCCTCAGCCCAAGAGAACTACTTCCTGTATACTCACGCCTATATCCTTTTTGTGCCCTGCCATCTCACTTCCTCTCTCTGCCCAGCTACATCACTTCCTCTTTCCACTCAGCTCTATCACTTCCTGTCTGTCTGTACAGACCTCCAGACCTCTATGGTTTACTAGTGCTTTTTACTATGTTTACTATGGTTTAAAGGCACGTGTCACCACACCTGGCTGTGTTCCCAGTGTGGCCTTGAACTCATAGAGATCCAAATGAATATCTGCCTCCCAAATGCTAGGATTAAAGGTGTGTGCTATCGCTGCCTGACTTCTGTGTTTAATATAGTGGCTGGCTTTGTCCTCTGGTCCCCAGGTAAGCTTTATTTGCTAGAGCATAAATAAAATATCACCACATGTACGTATTCAATAAAATGCAGGCTTTTCTTTCTCAGTCTTACCAACAACCTATCACCTGACGCAGGTGATCTTTACATTTCATTTCTTGGAATGTGACAGAGTTGGACTTCCATTACTGACTGTTAAAAATATGTTGACAGCATTTCATAGTGTTGCGAAAATAGCTGATCTGAGTACAAGTCCCGTTAATGGCATGGGTAATGAGTACCTACAGGAAACCGAAGCCAGCTGCTTTGAGCTGCTCTTCCTAAGACTGACCATTTTCATGGCAAACTGAGGCTGCTGAAGCCTCACACAGCTGATGAGGAAATGAACCCATGAATTAAAAAGTGCATGTTGCTTATCTTCTAGAGTGGAGATGTCAGAGTTCTCTAGAAAGGTTTGACTTGAAGCCACCTGAGGCTTTTGGTCCTGAATTCTCCTACTTCCTCTTCCTGGATAGTGGAGTAATTCTGCCAAAGACAAATGCCCTGCTATGAACTGATTTGCCCTCTCTAAATACCTTTTATTGAGAAGTTGGCATACCAGGGGGAAGTAACCCAGCTGCTGCAGCCGGCCCCGCTTAAACAGCACAGTCCTAGGAAAGGGCACATTCTTTGTTATTCAGGGACAGAGCCCTGCATCCAGGATAAAAGTGACCTCATGTTTTTCCACAAGACCAAGTGGGGAAGACTGAGTTTGGAGGTTAGAACAAGAAGGACCTGTTAAGGAAATGTAAAGAAGAGACAGAGGGTCTCTGAGGTTGGAATGGCAGCACACACTTGCTCAGTTAACCATTACTATTGCCCACTCCCATTAGCTTGAGTGTTTCTAGCCCCAGGGTAAAACCAGTTTCATAGGTGTGAGGTTTCCGTTGAGTCTTGAGTGATTACTTTACCATATTCTAATCACATCCTATCCCCATGTTTATTGACACGGTTTCTTTATTGGCTGATGTGCTTTTGATAATGGTACAAAAAGGATGCCAGGCTGGCTGTGTGGTTTATGGGGTAATGCTATGACAACATTACATCATCTTTGTGTAGAAAGACTTACATTCCACTTTTCTTGGGCTGCTGCTACCAAGCGTTCCACAGGCATGGTATTTAAAAAGTAGTTTAATTCAACACATAATCAATAAAACAGAAGAATAAAATAATGGAATTCCTTGGCTTACAGTAAAAGTCTTTAAAGGGATAAGGGATTTTGTGTTCTAAATATAGCACTTTACGTCAATATTAATGATCACTTGCCAAGGCTCAAAGGTCAAACCACCGTGCTACTATACAATCTAGAGGGAACAATTTAACTCAATAAAAATACAACCCATTGCTCATCACTGATTCCTGTCGAGTAAGTAGATTCTAGGAAACTCACCAGGTCTGAAAGTACAGCTAAAAGCCAGGAGATGCCTCAGTAGGTAAAGCATTTTACACATGAGCATGAGGCAGGCCTTGAGTTTAGATCCCCAGAGTCCCTAGAAGCTTGGCTTAGTAGTGCACATCTGTGATCCAGATTCACTGTAATTCCTACAGTGAGATGGGGCAGAGACATGAGACTCTCAGGAAGTTCATGGGGTGGCTAGCCTGCCATAAGCTGTGAAGGACAATATACCCTGTAAGGGGGGGGGGGGGCAGAGAGCAAAGACTGTCACCAGGACTGTCACTCCACATGCAAACCATTTATAAGTTTCTATGCATACACAAAAGCCCTTCCAAGCCTCTTCTTACATGCGCACACCCGCACAGGTGCAGCCGTACGGGGGTACTAGCAAGCGCTTTGTCGTTCAGAGAGCCTTAGGTTGCCTAAGCGAAGACTGGCTATATCCTCTTGCCTTTTTTTTTCTGACAAGAAAAGGAATATGAATTTAGATGTTGGCCCTAATAACTGTCTTTCAGAAGCGTATGTAAATGGTTCTCCACACCTCTGGCAAAATAGCTGTCCCTAGGGGAAAGGAAAGCAATATTTACAGCAGAAGATAAAATGTGATCTTGATTTTGTTAAGAGCCTCAGCTGGCCCCATCAAAAGGCAACTGCTTTTTGTTCAAGCTGCCACAGCGAGTCTGTACTAGTGGGGAAAAACTTTTCTTGTCTCAATGATAAGATTAAAATCAGCAAGCAATTTATTACAGAGTCTGCCATCCATCATGGGGACTGGGAGAAATAATGATGCGTTCAAAATAAGTATTCACCCCAGAATTTCCGTCTCCTCGCAGATTCCTTCAATTTCAATCTCTTCAATAAGCTGCTAATATTCTGTTCTTCGTCTCTTTGGGAACAAGCCGAGGAACGTGAAGATGTCGATTGCGGCCGCCACAAACCCAATGGTGCTTACTGCTCGGTTGGCCTAAAAGGAACCAAGAAACAAAGATAAAAAAGTCTTATTCTAAAGATGTTAGTGTTCTTGTGAAGCTTTGGTTTCTTTCCTAAACCAAAGATCTATTGTAATGAATGCATTTAAAGTCCAGTGCCAAGGTAAAATTATATATATATTATATATTATATATATATATATATATATATATATATATATATATATATATATATATAGAGAGAGAGAGAGAGAGAGAGAGAGAGGGTTTCTCTTGTGCATAGCTCTGGCTGTCCTGGAATTTACTCTGTAGATGAGGCTGGCTTACATCTCACAGAGATCAGTCAGCCTCTGCCTCCCAAGGGCTGGGATTAAAGGTGTGCGCCACCACACCAGCTATAATTTTTATAATTATGCAAAAGATATAACTTATTTATTTTTTATAATTTATAATTATACAAAACGCACGTAGTTTTCTATTCCTGACACTCATCATAAACATAGGTCCTGGTTGCTCATCATAACCTCTGGTGTGAGAGAGAGGAGAGAGCCGTGGTGCTCTTCTGCAAAACTTGGGAGGCTGTGAGTAAATGGTTCTTTTGCCCAAGATCATACCACCAAGATGTTTAGATGTCAGTGAGAGCTTCACAGATGCGTGTTCTCCCTCCAGCAGCCTCTACACAGTTTGGTTTGTATTCAAGTAAGGTCGGGGTGTGTGTGTGTGTGTGTGTGTGTAAAACTAAAGGATGCCTATTACTCAAATAGTCCAGGAGTGTGATCTTGAGCTAAATAACTATAAGCTCTTATTTGCTAGATATATGCTGGTCAGTTTGTATCAAGTCACCTGCGGGGAGGGGATGTCAATAGAGGAATTGCCTCCATCAGATTGGCCTGTGGGCATGTGGGGGGGGGGCACCGTCTCCATTGATGATGGATGTGGGAGTGCTCAGCTGACCATGGGCAGTGCCAACCCTGGGCAGGAAGCCCTGGACTGTAAAATAAAGCAAGGTGAGTGAGCCATGGAGAGTAAGCCAGCAAGCAGCATTCCTCTGTAGTTTCCAGTTTGACACCTGCGTGAGTTCCTGCCCTAGCTTCTTGTGATGATAAAATGTCTCCTGTAAGCTGAAACAAACCATTTCTTAGCCCCGACCTTAACCCTAAAATTAATCCTTAAGTTGTGCTTTTGGACAGTATTTTATCACAGGAAACTATGAGTCAATATTAGTCAATTACCATGGTTTTTTACGTAGACAGAATTGGTTTTCATACAGGCAGAATAAGCCATTCTCAAACTCAATTGTCTATAAAAGAGTTCAGATGTTCATGACCATCAGAGTATTAATCATCATCGTGGTGAGGGCAACTAATGAATATTCGTGGTTTCCATGGCACTCGGCTAATATTTGCCTTGCATCCTCATGGGGTTGAGTGCAGTTTTATGACTGAAAGGTCATAGTAGGATGCTTTGGAGTCATCACAGACCCAGAAGACAACATGTCAGTCTCCAGGACTCAAGGGTCAAGGCTTTCAGATGAAGCAAAACCTTTTTCTCAAATGTCTGGGGACTGGTCTAGCATCTGGAAACCTGGCCAAGGTCACTGTTGGGAGCTTCCTCTGCCTAGGTTTTTTTTTTTTTTTCCCATGGAGCCTCCTCTTACGTATTTCTGAAGCTCTGTATTGTCTCCCTCACTGCTGCTTCCCTGTTGCAGGGAAGTGGCAGGATAGAGGGCTGTGCAGGCTCCATGCATTGACAGCTGGGCTCACTTTGTTCCGCCTGGAGTCAGAAGGGACCAGGCCCACAACTGTGACTCCTTGTCTTTTCTACTCAGCTTTAACTGCCCACTTGACACGGCTTAGAATCACCTGAGAGGGGAGAACAAGCTGAGATATTCCCCAGACTGGATTGGCCTGTGAGCTTGTCTGTGCGGTATTGAAGAAGCTGGGCCCAGTTGACTGTGGGTGGTCCCATTCCCTGAGCAGGTGGTCCTGGGCTGCATAAGAAAGCCAGCCAGGTATAAGCCAGCCCACGAGCTGGGAATCAAGTAGTTTCCCCTTGCTGTACTTCTTTGATGTGAAGTAATTTCCTTGGTTGGAGATAATGTTGTATCGAAGAGCGTGCGGGACTGTCTCAAAGTACCTGCTTGATTTCCTGCTCTGACATCCCTCAGTGGTGGCTGCAACTGTAAACTAACTCTTTCCTCCCCTGAGATGCTCCTGGTCCTTCAAACAGAATGAAAGTAGAACTTTGCCCCTATCCAGTCCCCAATTGGTGGAGAAAAAAAGTCATGTGAACAACCTGGTCTGCCTGAACAATCCTATTTCCTTCTGTTATTTTACTTTTACGTATTTGGTTGTCTTATGCTTATTTTATCTATAATTCGTCATCACTACCTAAGTTATTTGCCAAAAATATCAAAAGGTAACCCTGTAGCATATCAAGGGAGATAAATGCTGCATACAAAAAACTCCCAAGAATGAGAAAGAGCAAGGTCAAAAGCCAAGGAGTGTGAATCAAACCTGATCCTCATAACTCACAGAAGGTCTGACCCAGGGAAATGGGGAAGGAACTGAAAACCATGGAAGTACAACCAGCATCCAATGGAGTCGGATGACAGGGGGTTCCCAGCCTGGGGAAACAGTAGAATCCTGGGATTAGGGTGGCCTCCAGCTAGATGCAAACCGAACCCACTAGGCATCTTTCAGCCTCTAGAAACCTGAGACATTGGAGGAATCTCATAAATATGAGAATTAGGGAAGGGATATACAACTTGATCGCAGGGCAGAGACCATTATCATAAAGCCCCTCCCATGTAGTGCATGTTGTTTCTCAAATCCCAGAAGCTCTTTTTTCTTCAAGTCTCATTCAAGATAGAAAAATCTCATGTAACTGGGACAGTCTCTTGAAGTTATCTGCCGTGGGAGCCCACTTGCAGAATCTGAACATCTGACGATGGGCTTGCTGGACCAACACATACAGGGAACTTTAACTCCGTGGCGTATTTAGGATTTTAAATTTACCAATCTGACCCTGGACACCTAGGATTTTCAGGATTTTATGTCGGAGGGCCATGGTAAAGGCCTCATTCTGAAGATCGGGAACCAGTGAAAATGGGCTGAATCTGAGGCTATGTACGACATTCAGCGTAGCAGGTCATGCATGACTGTAGGCTTTATCAGTGTCTGTTTTCTGAGACTTGGTGACTCGATGCGCTGAAGAACAGGCATGATGTGTATACATACTGACTTATCTAGACTTACTAAAGGGTGTGACCAGCCTATGTAGAGATAGACAATTTTAGTAACTGATTTGAATTATAACAATAAAGAACATTCTTCATGCAAAGTTTGAAAAGTATTGAAAAAACAAGCCACATTTTACAAACATTTACAAAAGAGAAATTTGTTAAAAGACTTATCCAAAATATACAAAGAAGTCTTAAAAATCAATAGGAAAATGAACAACCCAGATTTGGATATAGGCAAAATGATATCCAGCCATGTATCACAAGAGATACACCTAGAGAACATAAACACATGAAAAGGCATATCAGTATCATACATGATTAGGAAACTACAAATTAAGGCAGTGATGAGACAGAGACCACTTATGGGGTTGCCAGAATAGACTAAATGCAAGCACTATTGTCACCAAATGTTGACAAGGATATAGCATAATGGAAAATGTGCTCATAGGAATAAAAAAAAAAAAATACAGCCACCAAAAGGCAAGACACAACCTGATTCTGACTTTGTGACATTCAACAAAGATAAGGACATGCATGCAATTAAAAAGAATCCAATAAAGTTGCCCAGGTCTAGGGTGAAGGGAAGTGATTAGGTAGAATACAGAATAATTTCAGTTCAGGGAAACTATCGATACTCTAATGATGGATATGTCGTTATAAGTTTGATTACAGTCATGAAACGTTCAACACAGAAAAGGAAATTCTGGTGTGAACTGTGGTCTTCGGTTGATATGAGTTTTCAAGGTTGGCTTGCCAATGTTTTAGAACGATAGTACATTGATAGAGATGCTGATGGAGGCTGTACCTGTGTAAGGAGCAGCAAAACTGCTCTACAGTTGGGGACAGTGTTGTAATTCTAAAAACTATTCTAAATTACTCTATTGCCTGTTGGTTTTGTACAACTACAGAAAACACGGTGGAAAAGATGAACAGGATTATAATCCTTCTCCTTTTTAAATAATTTCTATGCATTTCTTAAAAAGTTAAGTCATAGTCATTTACCAAGGAAACATTTCTAAGTTCAAGGTCACTATACAGTAAGGTTAGGTTGTACCAGAGGAAAGTAGCTCACCCCAGGACAGGCAGGAAAAAAGAAACATGGGAGAGGCTGGAGACAAGATACCTACTCCAGAGGCACCCTCCATATGCTTCTTTCAACTAGGCCCCACCTAGTTTCCACCACCTTCTAATAATGCCATCAGATTAGAAACCCATCCATAGATGAATCCATTGATTAGACAATAGACCTCTTGATCTGTTATTAACACAACAGCCTCTAGCTGTGAAACATGCCACAAGAGCCTTTGGTGGGATGCTGTATATCCAAAGCATAACACATGTTTATTAGGACAGATAATCTGTAATGCAGCTAAGTAAGAGGCTTCAACTACCTCTATAATCCTTAAAAGAAAAAGTAATCCGAGGGTACAGTAAAAAGTGTACACAGTGTACCCCAAGTCATCCAGCCAGTGAATAAAGACGGGGCACTAGCTCATGCCAGTAGAGTGCTGGCACTCAGGTAGGTTCCCAAGGGTACCCAGCACCGTTTTCACCTGTATCTGCTTAGAGCCAGGTTCCACTATTTGTTGAGGAAATAATCCCATGCCTCCCCCCAGTTTTGAGTCTTAGTATAAAAAGTAAAAAGATAGTAAATTTCAGACTAAATTCAAAGTAGATGATTGTAATCTGTTCTTATTCAACCACATTTTTACATTATTGAAGCATTATTAGCAGGCAAAGGGCTATAAATACTTATTTAATATATACAAGTTGATCTATTTGGAGGAAAGCTTGCATCCATAAAATGTCATCATAATCAGTGCTCCACGGTTACCTATCACCTCCACAGGTTTCTGACAACCATCTTCCTTGATTCTGTTGTCTTGGTTTGGATTTTTAGTTGCTTAGTTGGTAGATTCATCTTTTTTTGGCTTTGTTGTTGCTGTAAGGGTATTTAGCCCTAAGAGCTACCTTCTTGGAAGAAATAAATATAAAAAAATATATTTCTAATAACAGCCCAGGCTTGTCAGGCATAGATACTATGTTACGGAGTAGATCTTGGAATTGATTTATTTGGTATAAGAGAAATTTGTGTTCTTTGACCACTGCCCTGCCCTGCGTTTGCAGAAATTACATGAATAAATATTATTTGCTGATGTAGTGAACAAATTAATCATTACCAAAGACCTCGTAATCTGGTTATGTCTCACCAACAGCCACCAGCTGAGGACTATGCCAAGCAAGCCTTCCGTGGGACACTATACATCCCAAGTATAACACATGCTCTTTATTGGGGTAAATAATGTGCCACTTAGCTGGATAATTACCAGTGGAGCAGATGGAAACTATTTCCTAACAAGAGCACTAGTTCTCCACACAAAGAGGAATTTGTGTGTGGCCTCTGGGTTGCGGCTCAAAAAACATATATATTATTATCTGAATGAACATTCACTGTTAATGTACTTCCTGATGGGAACACATGGCCATTTTCCTAAAGAAAATACGCATATCCTTTCCCCGTGTTCTGTCTCCCGCTTGCCTGAACTCAGTTCTGAGAAGAAAGGAACCTCACTTCTTAGAACGTTGTTTGATAGCTATTCCAAGACACAGGAAGCCTTGAGTAAGTTTGGATTATTAAAATATGTTCACGTTTGGGTATTGTTGTTTGAGTCGCAGTCTCCTTTTAAAAAAGCAACTTACTGGAGGTTAATAGTTTTTTTAAACTCTTTGGGCCATTTAAGTTTAAAAAGTAACATGTGTGTATGAATGTTGGACAAAGAGGGCCTCCCTTCTCTCAGTTCTATTCACTCGCTCTCATGCGTCATCCTAAGAATCCTTAGGAGAAGTCCTTAGAGATGGACTCTCACTGAGCCGAGGACAGGCCCAGTTAAGGTGAGGGAGGCAAAGGTTCACTTTGTTGGGAATCCACTATGATACTACAAAATAGTGCTGGAAATCTACAAGACTGCAAGTTACCCTGGAGTCAGTTAATATCTTAGAAGTCATTTAGAAGCTCGGGGAATCAAATCATAACAATTCATTGAAACTAGTATTGTAAGGAAACAGGAAACATTTACCAAGCCATCAAGACATGTCATTGGGTGGCCGCTGTTCCCTACTGGAGAAGAATCTATAAGTTAACCCCATTCATCTTCCCTTTCACTACATTATTTTCAGTACATGGGGTTGATGATTTGAGATTGCTGTATGGGGGAGTAATGGGGAAAACTGCCTAAGTGGAGTCAATAAGACTGACAGGAAGCTATGGACTTGATTCTACTGCAAGTCCCTTCTAGCCCAAATTTCAAGCTGTCCAAGCTTCAGTCTGTTCACTAACTTTCTGCATTCTTAGTGGTGTCTTTCTCTGCCCTTCAGTCTTTCCACATTTTCTTATTGTTTGCCTTTTGGGGGAAGCCTAAAAACTTTATCCTAACAGGTAGGATTTTCTCCACACCAGCTTCCCATACCTCCTGAAAAAAAAAAAAAAACAAAAAACAAAACCAAAAAAAAACAAACAAACAAAACCAAAAAAACAAAGAACCAAACCAAACCAACCAAACCAACCAATCAAACAAGCATAAACCTCACCTGATCTGACACTCCTTCTCCATAGCGGAGCAAGGTCACAAAGTGCTCACAGTTGTTGACCAGTAAGTCGTAGGCCACCTCCTGCCCGATCACGAACTCAGACCGCAGTATCACTTCCTCCACGGGGAGAGGTGGGTATGTCGTGTCGTACTTGTTGTTGACTCTGTACTTGTCTTCTCCCACGACGTCCTTCAGAAGCTGCATCTTCACCAAAGCCTTTGTGCTGAACACAGACTTGGCGCTTGAAAGTGCCGAAGCAATACCATCTGTGAGGGGAAATGTTGGTTAGTGGGGCTTAGTGATCCAGTCCACAAAGTACCGGTGTCGTCTAGGAAGACTGGAGATGCCGGGGACCTTAGACTGACCCCTGCTCCTTATGGAAGAAACCAAAAGTGCTTGATCTTATCCATGTACTCTGTGTTATCAATTACAACACTGTACGAGTGAGAATACAAGCTGCACGAAGTTCTCTGCCTGGCCTTGGGGAGCAAGCTCTCGAACGACTGGTATTATTATGAGAGATCTTTGCACATAGTTCTAGCAAGGTATGGATAAGATTATTGTCCAATTTTTCTTTTGTGCCTGTTTCCTCTCAGCATCTGAAGCCTTCCGAATCTTAGGGGTTAGGAGTAGTGTGCTTTGAGTCCTATGTCCGCTGATCCACCTAACTTCACTTCTCACTTCTTTATACGCTGGCTCTTCCCCAGGTTTTAATGTGAGTCCACATTTCCCGCTGTGACGCTTGCACAGTCCAGTGAGGAACCAGCTCAACTCCGGCTTTGCTTCTGTCATTTCCTCTGGCCAGCAGACTAACATTCTAAACCGGAAGCTAACTTTACCAGTAGACACTACACACAGATGGGGCCCCCATGTTATGTCTTACTTGTCTGGACAATCCTCTCTGCTTCTTCTCTTTCTCTGAGATACCGCTATTGGTGATCATTGCCTAGATGGCCAGGAACCATGGTGTCCAGTCCTGTCACGTCAGTACCAGAGGCTAACAGATGACGCCTCATGGCTTGGCCTAGTGCCAGGAACTGGTCTCTCTCTACACGTGCCTACATGCTGTGCAAGGCCATCAGGTTCTCATAACTACTTCAAGGAAGAGACTCTACAGAAACTGGCTTACGTAAATTTCTGTTTCAGTTATGACTAAAGTCAAAATATGTCTCCATTCTTCTTCTATCTTGCTCTCAACAGAGCAGCATTCATCGGTTAATACTGGAGATCACTAGACATGTACAGGAACAGATGTTGCGTATACTGATGAATATAGTATTATTTAAGTGCGGTATTACATCACATACTGCACTTGAATTAGAAATTTTTAAATATTACATTAAGACCATCTCCTAAATAGTTAAGCATGTCCCAAAATATGCCTTTTAATAGCTGTTATAGTGGCTTTAGCACCCATTCCACCACTGCCTGTTTCTTCCCCAAAATGCCTGTCAGAGCTGATCACTGTATTACATCTTATTCTCCAGAAATGGCGTTGTGGCTCACAACGGACCAATTAAGAGTCGTTCTCCATGATTTCTAGACTCCAACAATCAGAGAACAGATTAGCTCTTTCCTGTTGAGTCATAAAACTCTAAGAACGAGAGTCTTGGTTTGTGAACAAAGTCAGGAGGATGACACCACCACCCAGAAGAGGGATGCGACATCTGAGTCTGAAGGTCCTCATGCAATGACATTCCTAGGCCCGGGAACTTCCGAGGTCAGCTCCACCCTTCCTGAAGTCTCCTCCCATGAAGCCATGGACTTGTCTTTTGGGGGTTTGCTTAAGCTAGCGCCAGCTTTATTTACTTGCAACTAGAGAATTCTAACACACGCAGATACCTAACACCCAGCGGCTAAATCACAATGTGCTTAACCAGCCCCCTCCCATGGAAAATGCAGCTATTGTCTCAGTTTTAAACCACTGGAAATGAAATTTGTCCCCATGTCTACATGTTTCCCCAGACTCCTGTGAGCAAAATTAGATGCAGAGCTTAAGAAATCTTCTCAGACTCTTAACACATACTGCTGAACTGTTTTTGTGAATGGCATTATCAGTCTCTATTTCCATTGATAGACTTGCATTCATTTCACTGTCTCCGTCTCCACTGAGAGCTCTCACTGCACCCTTTGCTAAAGAGACAGGCATGAACTCATCGGTCAGTGTCTTCACCTGTAACTTGCAGGTGAAGACAAAGGTGAAATGTCTGCTCTCTTCTTTTGTCAACTGTTGTCAGACTTCCCCGACTGTGGCTTGGGACCTTGGCCTTCGCTTTCTCTCCTCTGAGGCACCCATCCCCCAGGTACCCCCCGGGGAACTAGTTTTCTCAAGTCTTTGAAGCTTCACTTCCATTGCTGGTTGCTGCTTCCTTGCAGAAGTTCCCTAACTGCTGGCACCCCCCCCCCCCCGCCCCAGCCCCCTCCCCCCACCCGCGCCCTCCTGTCTACCTATATTCAGCACATCCCAAAACACCGTCTTCGCTTATTTTTCCACATCCTTCCTAACAGGTCTATAATTTACTCTCGTTCTCTCCCTCTGTCTGTGAAAATGTGAGCACCACCATGGAGCTGTCTGGATAGCTGTGTAGCCCCGGTGCCTGGACCAGCATTCAGCACATACTGCACAACCTATTAATAGCTGCAGAATTAATTAAAACCACCCACTTGTGTGAGACATAAGAACATAGAACTTAGTCATGTTTGGGGCCAATATCTTCCTCAGTTAGTCATTTGTTTGTAATTAGGGTTTTTTTTTTTTAATATAGAAGTTTTTTTTTAATTTAATGTCTAGTCTGTGGAATCTTTTAAATGATGCTTTGGTCTTTGAAGATCATTTTCTAAATTACTCGGGCTTATTTTTCATACTTTATCTGCTTTATGATATTGTCCGTGATCCCTTCTAATTTCAAAGCAACTAAAAAGCTCCCAGGAGCCCCCGGGAACAAATCTTACCTACAGGGGCAATGTTGATAACATAGCCATCACCCAAGTACAGGGCCCAGTGCTGGTAGCCAGGACGGAACACTTCAATCAAGTCTGCTGGGCGAGGGTTGTGAGGATATGCCAGATGGAAGCAGTCCCGAAACGCCATCTGCAACAACAGGTACAGAGATGCTCTCGCTGGTACAACTCACAGAAGGAGAGTCCAAGGGAGGCTTCCACTTTAGCAGAGGGGCACAGAAATTACTTAGACGACCTTCCCCGGTAAGATGACTCAGGCTTACAGCGTGTTTTCTTTGGATGATTCTGTATGTGCTAGTTCTTCCATAGTTCTCTACAACAATGTTTCCTTACCAGGACCGTTCTTTAAATCCAGAATTCATAGTTTGTAGAACTTCCCTCTACTTCAAATTTCGGTAGTATTAAGTATTAAAATACATCTTGATTGGAACAGGAAGGAGCAATAAAGGGAAGGCAAAGGTATGTTTGCTTTTACTGTGCAAATGTGCTAAGAATTACTAGAAAGCATCAGTCTGCTCTTGCATCCAGTGTGAAGAAGTCGGGGGTCAAGAGCGTAAGATTAGAATTCTTTCAGGCTCTGTGCTGCACGGTACAACTAAGAAGCAAAGGTGTGGGTGGATGCTGAACACTGTGAACATTACAACATGTAAGAAATATCTTGTACCACAAAGCTTACTCTGCCATTTTATTTTAAGCAGGGACAAGTTACAAGCCAGATGGATATCAAGCCAGACATTCAGGTGCAATGCAGGCTCTGGAACATTTCTTCCGAGTTCAGAGTGTGCTCTGTACTGTAGCATCTTTAGCTCTGGCTTCCACTCGCTACGTCTCAGATGTCCTTTGTCACTGTAACCATGACAACCTGCCCCACCCCATCCCTGACTGCTTCACTTGTGATTCCAGAAACAGTGCAAGGTGGTCTACCTCAGAGGCAGACAGTTTGCAAGGTGGGGAAGCTCACTGCATTGATGAACCTTGGCCTGAAATGTCCAAGGTGGCAGCATTTTCTCCTTCTAAATCAATGCCTGTTAGAAGGCACACGTGTTTCTGACAGCTGGTTTTTGTAGCGGTTACACTTTCCGTGTCGTCACAGAAATAGAGTAAGTCAGCAAGAGGAAGTGGTGTGCATCTGGCCACAAAGGAAGAATAAATGCCGTGTGCATGCTTAGTCTCTACTTGACAGGGCTGCTCCTCACCATCTCACCCTCCTGCAACTCTGCAGGCTCCCCACCAATGAAATATGAGTGCTAGAAACTTCAAACTCACCTACATTATGATCATAATAGTACAGGCTAAGGACTTGGGGATGCACCCTTCCTTCCTTCCTTCCTTCCTTCCTTCCTTCCTTCCTCCCTCCCTCCCTCCCTCCCTTCCTTCCTTCCTTCCTTCCTTCTTTCCTTCTTCCCTTCTTCCCTCCCTCTTTTCCTATCTGTCTGTCTTCTGTCTCTGTCTGTCTGTCTTTCTTGGCACTCTAGAAGTCTGTTTTTTTTCCCCAACAACAATTAATATTGGAAGGGTGCTTCCCTGAATATTTGCATGCTGTGGGTTGATATCTTCACTCACCACGTTGTCACAGAAACACAGCCAGATGTAATAGTCCATCTGCTGAAAAATAACTACTAACGCAGTCTATAGAAGCATTAAGTCTAGCCATCCTCTCAAACATGTTTTAGTCTTACTGAATATGGAAGTTCACAATTTTGTCACTACTGATGCAGATAAACATATTTTCCACGAGTAGAAATCAGCAAGCCCCCAACAGCCCGCTGAAGTCAAATCCTGTTCTAGCCAAGTTTTATTAATAACCGCCATTTGAACAGGGAATACTTGGAGGCGTAACAAGTTTTTCAAAAACATTATCTCAATTAACCCTATTTAACTGAAAAAACCTTCATTTCTATTTGAGTTTATTATGTTATTAGCCCATTCTACAGATAAAAAGCTATCTTTTCAACTCCAACTTTTTGATAAAACTCCCTGAATTCTACTTGCCACTTTCTGGTTCTACTACTACTCGGCAGGTCACTCAGGCAGAGCCTCAATTCCCTCATGTAGAAGACAGATATGTGGACCTCTGAATTAGCCTAGTCTACAGAGTGAGTTCTAGGACAGCCAGATCTACACAGAGAAACCCAGTCTTGAAAAAACCAAACAACAACCACGAAGACAGATATAACAAGTAGAATGACTTGTTTATCTCAGAAAACTATGGAAAGCATTCCTTGGGAATGGGCTACAAACTGTTATGAACACCTTGAGAAAACTGGGCAGGAGCTACACAGGCGGGTAGTAAGACTATGTTGCTGTCCCCTTGATACTGGACCATGGTTTATATGTGACTTGGTCCCTGTTCTGTCTCTGAGACATGACATATGACTTTATGGAATGGGTGACTTCACAGCAAAGTTTTAACACCTAACGCTCTTCAGTCTCTGACACACAGATAAAGTGTCAGTGAATTAGTTACACAAGGCCTGTCATAATTCATTAAAAAGAGATGGTAGGACAACAAGCATGCCATGTACATAACCACCCAGAAGCTAAGAGAAGAACCTCCATGCTAACAACATGGGAGGGAAGTGTGAGTTGCACCCTGACCTCTTACATATCCTAGCAAGTTGGTGCAAAAAGGAACCTCAGATACTAGTCCACTGCTTTCCTAAACTTGGCATCTGGCATCACAGAACACCTAGCAGTGTAGATTAAATAACAACCATCAGGTCCAAGTTCAAAGCCCTTGTTTCTTAAGATTAAAAAAAAAAAAAAAACAAGTGAACTCGGCAAATAATTTCAACCAATGAGAATCATCTGTTATCTCACAATGGATTTTCAACAATTTGTGCTAGAGTAATTGAGTTATCTCCAGTGGGAAACTATCCCACCACCTCCAAAAGACTTCAACTTAAGTTTTATGTCACACACACACATACACATACACACACACACACACACACACACACACACACACACACACACATACACACATACACACACACACACACACACACACACACACACACACACACACACACACTCATGGGGAAAATAGGGGGGAAAAGTTGGTGTTAAAAGTTGGTAGAGTACTTACGTTTACTACCAAAAGTATGATCCATAGAATGAAAACTCAGTAAACTGGATATCCTCAAAATTAAAAATATTCACAGCACAAAAGTGAAGACAGAATCAAGACGACATGCAGAACTCTCAGGATGGGACTGGGGGAGTGGTTCAGTGGTTTCAGAGAAAGTGCTGCTTGGAGAGGCCCGAGTTCAGTTCCCAGTGTCCTCACCAGATGGCTCTGAACTGCCTGTAATTCCAGCTCCAGGGGATCTGATGCCCCCTTCTGGCCTCTGTGGACAGTGCATTCATGGGCATAAAACCATCCTCACCTCTCCACACACATAATTAAGAATAACACATAAGTAAATGTCTTCAAATTCAACAGTGGAAAGGCAAACAGTTCAATCAGACTGTAAGCAGGAGAAATGAAGACACCTTTCATACTTCAGAAATTACATAGATGTCCAACAAGCCGTGTCCATCACTAGCCATTAGGGAAATGTAAATCAGTGGAACGTTACTGCAGGCCCTTGAGCACAGCTCAAATGGAAGAGAGGGGTACTGTCGGACTCTGGCCAAGATGCCGAGCCATTGGTTCACTGGTTCATTGGTAGAGGCAGTGTAAAATGACACAGTCACACTGGAAACAGTTTGTCGATGTCTTTACGTTTTTACCTTGTTACCAAGGTATGATCCAGCAATTATATCTTTAAGCATTGACCTCAAGAGACGAAGTCAAAGAAGACTTACGTTTAACAAAAATGGGTATGCAAGTGTTTACAGTGGCTTTATTCCTAATAACTTCAAACAGCTCAGCTGACCTGCAATGGGGGAATGGCAACAAACGTCTGCGCTCTCTCAAGATTCAAGATGGCTGAAGAGAAATGCTTAATCCGTGGGGCTGGAGAAATGGCTCAGTGGTTAAGAGCACTTAATGCTCTGGGAAAAGACCCGGGTTTCCTTCCTAGAACATACACACAGGCAGCTCGCTGTAACTCCAGTTCCAGGGCACCAGATGCCCTTTGGTCTCCACAGGCCTGTAAACTCACATAGGTGTATACACAGAGGCCTAAGTTTAACAAGTAAATTAATAAGCCTTTTTTTTTTTTTTTTGGTTTTTCGAGACAGGGTTTCTCTGTGTAGCTTTGCGCCTTTTCCTGGAACTCAGTTGGTAGCCCAGGCTGGCCTTGAACTCACAGAGATCCGCCTGGCTCTGCCTTCCGAGTGCTGGGATTAAAGGCGTGCGCCACCAACGCCCGGCTAATAAGCCTTTTTAAAAGTAAGAGTCCCTTATTGAAAAAAAGTCAAAAGGAAATGACAAATAACGACTCCCCTTGTACAAAGACCAAGCCGAGAAATCCATGTAGAGCTGCATTTAGAGGCCAATGGCAATGAGAGAGTGCTGGAAATCCTCATGACAGAGGCTGAAATCTAGTAAAATTCAGACACCTGGGGCCATAGTAAGAGAGGCAAAATACTCCAGCACCTGCCACCCCAGCTCCACAGTAGGAGTTAGGGGTTCTTCCTTTTGGAGGAGTGAGGTCCAAGAGAGAGTTCCAGGGGGCTCCATCCATGTGGGTACTCATAACTCTAGCTACCAGATAGCCAGTTTGCAGTCCCTTTAGATTAGAAGCCTGAGCTCTGCATAGCAGCCTGGCTTTAGAAATGGGTCTTCACATGGCCCTACGGAAGGCCTAGGGTATGGTAGCCAGTACCTATCTTGAGAAGTCAACTGCTGTTTCCAAGAATCAAAACATCTCTGCGTGCTCCCTTCTCCTGTATTATACAACCGCTCCCTGGCACTGGCTGGGCAGAAAGCTGCCTCTTGAATTCAACATAGCACAGCAGAGTGACTGTGGCTAAACCTGCTGGATGCCCTGCTCTGTAGGGGTTGAGAGCTATGACCAGAGGAGATTGGAAGGTGCTGCCTCTGAACACCAGGAGACAAGCACACTTGCTCTCTGAGACCCAGGGTAGAGTTAGCCATGTGTGGACTAGGACAGGGTCAGGACTGAAGGGAGGTATCTACACGTGGTTCCCATGGCCCTTTTCCCAGGACTTGTATTCATGTGCCTGTTATGAATAAGGTGGGACGTGAACCCCCATGATTCTCAAGCATACAGGGGCCTGATGGGAGGGCCCAGCACAACTCCATGAGTCCAGGTCCTACCTGAGGCATACACTGCCAGATAGAACCTGCTGAGAGAAATGTGACTCAGCTCTGCCCCTGGTCCCACTCACAGGCAGGGACAGTCATTGAAGCAGCAGAGAGAAACACTGTGGAGTTCTTACTTCTACCCCACTTCTGTGTGGCTGCCATCTGATCCATTCTGATGTTAATGTTACTAGGACTGGGCAGGAGCACCCCAACAGAAGTGCAGTGGGTCCCACTCACAAAGTCCTGGCTCCCGCAAGTAAAGGTCCTCGCCAGAAGTAGAATGCCAATAGCTGGATGGAAACACCAACATCTGATGGGGCCACCAAGAAAATAGTAGAAGTAGAAGATCTACAAGGACTATGCCATGGCCTCTGCTGTAAACATTACACCCATCAGAACTTCAGAAGTATCTCCACTCTCACAGCACATAGAGAGAGTGGGCCTGAGACTCTGCCACAGTGCGTATCAGGCCCAAAGTCATAAGCCATCGCCATGGGAGTTATAGGGGAACGATACCACAATACTCAGCTAGAATCGAAGTCACCATTGCAGAACCAGCTGACACTCCAAGACACATCTTTAGAAGAAAGCCCCTTAACCAAGGCTACCCCTTAAAAGTGGTAGAAACATCTGACCCATGTAGATTAACAGCTAAACGAAATTAGGCAGACAGCGTTGGATATAAATGAGAATTCTGTAGAGACAATCAGGCAGACACCTTAGAAATGAGGAAGTCAATGAATCAAATAAAATATATAACCCTTGAAAGCCTCAACAGTTTATGGAAGAAATAATATGTGAATTTGAAGAGTACATGTGTAGATAGATAGATAGGTAGAAAGACAGATGTAGATGTATACATATACATATACATATACATATACATATCAAATGGAATACCAGAAAAGATTAAAATTAAAGGCACAGAAAATCTGTCCAATAAAGTAATTGCTGAGAACTTTCCTTAAATCCTGAGTAAGATATGAACATCCATGTACAGGAGGCTTATCTAAAAATAAAATCAAGTTGGGCCAAAGACCTGAATATCAGACCAGAAATTCTAGAAGTCATAGAAGAAACCACAAGAGTCATTTCAAGACATAGACATGGCTAATGATTTTCTGGGTGGGGCTTCCCAAAGCATAGGAAACAACAAAAATAGCCAAGTGGGAGAAAAAACAGCCCATGGGATGGGAGAAAGTATTTGTAAATATACATTAGGCAAGGAAGGGCTATCATCCAAGATATATGAGGAATTTCAAAAAACACAGTCCAATAAAACAAATAAATGATATAAGCTAGACACAAAAAGGCAAGTTCTACATACTCTTTTTCGTGCGGAAGCTTTAAAAGTCAATTTGAAAGTAGAATCACTGACTGGTCCTGGAGAGAGTGGCTGAATTTAACCGGCGTACACTCTACACATATATGGAAATATAATGCTTTTAATATGTACAACTAATACTTGCCAGCAAAGCCTGAATTAACCTCCAGAGAATTTTGCTGAGCAGAAAAAATAAAAAATAGAAAAACAACGTCAGAAGGTTGTATTCTGTGTGATTCCACCCTATAACGTTCTTTTTTTTTTTTTTTTTTTTGGTTTTTCGAGACAGGGTTTCTCTGTGTAGTTTTGCGCCTTTCCTGGAACTCGCTTTGGAGACCAGGCTGGCCTCGAACTCACAGAGATCCGCCTGGCTCTGCCTCCCAAGTGCTGGGATTAAAGGCGTGCGCCACCACCGCCCGGCCTATAACGTTCTTGAAATGACCAAGTTCTAAATTTAGGGGCTAAATGGTGGTTATTGGGGTGTCAGGAAATGATGGGAGGGAAGGTGGTGTGGCTGTATGACGGCCAGTGAAGGGTTGGAATGGCGACTTCGCAAGCTGATTATAGAGACCGGTTGAGTTCACGCCAGGTCTGAAGTCACGCAGGCAGGGAGTTGACAACTCTGAAATTCAATTTCAAGTCTGTCTTCCTACACCAATTTCATGCCCTTTCACACCATTAAATACAATTAACAATTCATCAGAGGAAATGCTGCTAAAAAAAAAAAAAAAGAAAACAAAACAAACACCACGGCCTCTTTCCTGCTTCTCATCGGTCCATTAGAGGGAGAAGGTTCAAAAGCACGAAGATCTATGAACCAATGGAACCTTGCTGGGGCGTCTCCATTTCTCTTCTGCCTGGAGGCCTTTCCAGGTGACGCCAGACCCATCTATTAGTTCCTAGAATCAGACCTTAGGCAAAGGGCTATGAAGGTTTACTTAACAGCTTACCTGCACAGGATCAGAGAGTATACAATGCAGACTGACGTGAACGTAGGCACTCAACCATGTACGAGGGATTTATCTTTTTCAATTACGAAAACGGGCTGCTCTGTTTATTGCCCTATGTCAGATCTATCTGGGGACACATCAAAAGAAGTAAGTGTTCTGTGTTGTTCAGATGTCTACGAGGCCGCCTGTGTTGAAGGATGGATACCCAGGAGAACTTTACACCGACTACCTCCAAGAATGTTAACAGAAGTGTGAACCGCCATCACCGGCTTTCCAGTCTCCAGGAGTTTTCCAGTTCCATCTGGATGGTTGCCCATTTCCATCCACAAAGGGGCTACACTGAGAGGTTTCTGTAAGGTCTTGTGTCTAGACTGCCTTCCACTCAGACCCTGGGGCAGCATAGATCCTTAAACCAGCATTTAACCTGCACCTGAGAGGTTTCATTTGGGGACAAATCCATCCCAAACCATCCTTTAACGCACAGCGCAGCCATACTGGGCTTTGAATCTTCCTAGGGTCCCTAGTACTGCCTCCATCTTAATCTCGGCCTCCTTTGCTTTATTTCAGATCCAGGCAGGATGCCATCTTCTGACGCCCCCACCACCGATCCCCTATCATCCCTCAGTGTGCCATAATGACACCTCCTGAATTTCCCTGGTGCACTCTCTATTTTTCCTTGCCCATCCCCTTCCTGAACCTGCCTTTGTACCTGGTGTCTGGGGACCTTCTCCGCTTTCCCCTACGGAGGGCTGATTCTTGTGTACCTCTAAAGGTTCAGTTTCTAGAAGAGTGCGTGGCACCAATACCTGCCCAGCAAATGTTAAACAAATAAAGGCACCAAGAACTCGAGACCTGTTCACGTTTTTCCCAGAATCTGAGTCATAATCATAGTACTAAATGAATGCCCAAGATAATATCACCACCGTCCACGGTTCCGAGATCTAAGACAATACTGTCACCTATTCGCAGTCAGTTCGGTGAGACCAGAGCTGAGAAGTAGGCCCTGCCCAGGGGACTGAGTTTCCAGTATCTGCCTCTCTCGACAGTTTTCCCGTCTTGGAAGCAGGTCTCTTTCATCCCCCTGCTCCCCACTTATAACAAGAGGAGGGGGGGCTGGATGAAGTCAGGTGCTCTCTCACCTTTGAACTTTCCGACAGATCAAAACAAGGTTGCTTAGCGCCCAGGGAGCCTCCCCTCCCCTCCCCTCCCCCAACGCACCTCCCTGCTCAAGCTGGCTTGTGTCGTCGCCCGGGAGGCAGCGGCGGGCTTCCCGGGCTCTCCCCGGGCTCTCCCCGGCCTCGCAGCAGGGCCGCCAGCAGCCCCTGGGCTACCCCATCCGCACCACTCCGAGGAGGCCACCGCCACCGCCCAGGCCACAGCGGCCCTCTGAAGCGTCAACGCCAGCGCCCGCGCGCCGTGCCACCCCCTGCTCCCTCCGCGGGCTCCTGGCGCGCGCCCGCCCGCCCGCCCGCCCGCCCGGCTCCTGCACTGCACTGCACTGCACGGTGGGTCCCAGGCTCCCGGTACCCCGTCTTCTTCGTCCCTCTCGTCCCGCCACCCCGGACACAACCCAGGTCTGGGATCCCCGGATTCTCCGTGCACACCCGCAGGCTGGAGACCCCCTAGATCATCTGTGCCCACTGTAGGCCCGGGCTCCGAAGATTCTGGGCACACTCTGGGGCTCAGGGCTGCCGATGTCCACCCACCCCCCTCCACCACCACCGCTGGTCGCTCCTTCCACCCTTCACCTGCATGGGGAGTCCCTACCTCCGTGCCCTCCAGCCAACCACTGGGCCCTCCAAGCCAGCTGAAACAGACACACAAACCTGCTGCTCACAGCTCAACCCCAGCCGGGTGCCTACTTGGTTTCATCCTCCCAGCAACCAGGACTTTCCTGTGACAAACTTTTGTGGTAATCAAGCTCTGTCCCTGCTGGGTGTTACAGTTTTAAGGATGACCTTAGTGCGCAGCCCAGAAATATTTGGGTATAGTCATTATGGATACACAGGATACCACGTCCAAGCTGGACACGGATTCCTTCTGGGCCAAAGGTTTGTTTCCTCTGCCTGCACCCTGAAGAAACATCTAGGTCTTTGATTCAACGACTAGTGGGAGATGGGTTGCTGTAGGAAAATTCGTAACTCACACACCTGCAAGCATGCATACAAAACAGTCCTACTTAGACTGACCCAGAGGCCAAGGGCCAGCGAGGGCACACTGACTAGCCATGACCCTACCCACACGCCAAAATCAACTTCAGTGTGGGGAGAGACAAGGAATAAAGGGCAAAAGGGGGTCTATCCTCCATCCCCTAAACCTCGGTCGGATGCTGCTTTTCCAAGTGAGAAGTTACCTGGCTTGGGACGGGATGGAGTTGGCCTTCATAAAGGACCAGAGTCAGAGTCCCCTCCCTTCCTCTGCCCTGAAGATGTCCTGGATCTAGACAGAAGAGGTCCCTTACTCAGCTTGACTCCTGCCTTTTTAGGCCAGGCAGACCAGGCAGGCCAAGACTTCAGAAAAACAACCATTGAGGTTAAATATAGAGCTGAGGATGGCGAAGATCCTCTTTCTCCTGGCTTAACAGCGTGCCCAGAAACTCCAGCCAGGGAAGGACGGGCAGACTCGGTGAGCTTTCTCTGAGAACTGCACAGGACTTTGTTTGAAGCTCGTCATCGTCTAGATTTGTGCACTGGTATACATGGAATTCAACCCAAACACACCCTTACCCATGCAAAACTTAGCGGCTGGAATTGATGTGCTTGGGGGGTCACATGGGAGAAATGCCGAGCAGGCAGCTGCTTTCACAAAGGGATCAGGTTCCATGATGAGGACTGTGGATCAGTTTCCTGGATCTGCAGCTCAGGGTCAGGAGAGACGTCTTCTAAACAGTGCATAGAAAGTCACTGGAGCCATTTGGAACCTTCAAGTGGTGGGCGTTGTGGAAATGAGAGCCCTTGAGGGGTAGGTAGTAGGAGTGCTCTTTATGAGTTACTGTTTTTTCCCCCCAAGGTTCCCTTTAAATGCATATTTAGTTATGAATCAAATCAGATATGCCCTTTGGGATCTTTCCTAAGCCATTTCAATTGAGTCATCACAGAAGGAGGTGGTGTATGATTTTGTCCAGGAGAGTTAGCGTGAGCATTTATAAAGCCATCCTGCTTATGAGCTAAATTTATGACGTTTGCCAGGTTAATCTGTTTTCTCTAATCGGACACTTAATCATCCAGCCTCCTCTCGGCATTATGGATTCATGAATGTCATCGGAGGAGAGCTGCTCAGGCAGGGCAAGATGATAAATTACCGCTTCATTTTGGGGGTATTTGTGACTAAATGCCTCATAATAGAATTAAGATGAAATAAATCTTGTAATTTCAGTTCTAGATCCCTGCCAGGTGTGGAGGAAATGCATCTGGCCAAAAGCAAATGCAATTCCTTCTACCACCGAACGGAATCTACAGGAGAGAGAAAGCTTTTTGTGCAAAACAAAATTCTTCCTTCACCTCTGTAGATGGGAGAGAGTTGGTCACTCCCAGGCACTATATGGGTGAATGTAGAGGGTGGTTATTTGAGTCATGCCCTGAAGTACCGCCCCTAGTGAGGTAGCAGGTAACTGTTAACACCTGCCTATGACCTTGAGGTACATGCCCCTGGAATGTGGCTGCTGGGGAACCCTTAAGACCTGGGATGCACATATGCGCTCCTCTTTGCTACCTCGCGTTTTTGGATGCTGAGATTTTGGACCAGGCAGATCAGCGTGGAACATAGCTCAGCTTTCCTGGACCCTAGCATAAATCTCCCTCAGTTGTGAGTTAACCCCCACATAAATTCCTTTGCTCGTTAAATAGACTCCATGGATTAATCCCATTAGGTGAACAGCACATAATCACCATTTCTATTCAGAAAGGATGAGCCCCGGACAGTGGAAGGCAAAGTTTGTCTACATCTGGAGTTACCCTGGGGTCTCAAAAGCTATGCATAGTACAGATTGGCCCAGATGCTGTTTTTCTTGCTTTGTTTGGTTTGGTGCGGTTTTTGTTTTGCTGTTAGAGTCGGAGCCTAGTTGGGTTGTAATATTTGACACCTTGAAATAAAAAGGACACAATTAAGTCATATCTTTTATTAAATAAATGCTAAGCTCATGCCTAAGCAACAGCCAAAACCAATGGGCATGTGTGTCATTAGATGGAGGCCCCCAACCAAGCATACACATACACGGTTTTTGTGTGTGCGCTTCTTATACTTAGCAAAAATATTCTCATTCACACCGCTGGCTCCTCAGCTTCCGGCTGTGGCTGAGAGGCCTGAGACACGGATCTCTGAGCTTAGAGTCTCCTGGGTATAACAGAGGCCAGCCTCCTTAGCTGCGAGTGATCCTGTATCCAGAGTCCTTCTTCCCTTGTACAGCAAAATCCAAATCTTATCGACTTAGTGGTTCTTGGATTTAACCCCAGCCTCATCTATGCCCCAGCACAAGTGCTGCCCCTGAGCTACAGCAGAGTTCTACAGCCTTACCTCTGTATTAAAAATAATGACGATAATAGTAATAACAATAAGCAGGTTAACAATGTTATCTTGGATATATTTAAATAGTTAAGAGAAGATTTTAAATGTTTTTCCCCCACAAAAAATAAATGAAGGAGGTGACACTCATTTGATTATTGTACGATGTATATTGTATTAAAACCTTATTGTATACTCCACAAATATGCTTAAGCATCTGTCCATTAAAAACAAAACTGATGCAAGAAAGCAAAAGCTAGAGGCTGGGGTGAACTAAATATCTCAAAAATCAAGGTAAAATGAGTAAGCACGGCATGTACTGAAAAAAAGCGTCTCAGAATAAAAGACTTGCACAAATACAAGGTAAATAAGAGCTAATGTGACGATTGGTCTCTGTGCGACCTCATGGCCTTAGAAAGACAGTAACTGGGAGTATGCAGAAACTGGGGGTGACATGAACACGAGTGAATTGAGACAGTCATTTAAATAGTTCAAACCCTGCTTCCCTCACATCAAATGACTCTGGGAAAGTAAAAGCTTTTCCCTTGACTTCAGATGTCTAGAGATGGACTGCTCAGCGTGCAAACTGCTCTTTCTCGCTCTACATTGTACATTCTTGGTCCTGATGGCTGGAACTAGACATCTGTGCCTTTACTGGTTCCTTGAGTGGCTACAGTACTTTCAGGTTCTGGTGTCTTTGTGATTGTTTCTTGCCTAGAGCTAGGTAGGTGGGAAATGACTAAGCTTGTTAAATTGGCCAACTGAGCCAAGTTCGGGGGTAGTCAAGGGTTGGCTACCAAACAAGATGATTTCGTGAAATCCAAATCAGAGGTACAGAGACCTGTCAGTACGTGGCAAAGAAGGACATGGGTGCACCTTCCATAGAGTAGCATGCATTCTGCCCAGGGGAAAGGTCTGGACAGTGAAATCCAAGGCTTGAGTTCTAATCCCAGGCATATGCCTTGCTAGTTATAGGGACAGGAGCACATTCCTCAGACCTTCTCAGCTTATGTGACAATGGGATGGGGAATCATACCCTAGCCTGCCATCTTCACAGATTTGTGAATGGTTTTTAAAAATATAAAAAGCTTAATATATGTAAGAAAACTACAGCTGCTCAATATAATAACCTAAGGGTATCCTTGAAAATAACACTTATGTTTCATCATTACAGAAAGAAAAATATATATGTACATTATGTTCCTGTTTCTATTCTCTCTCTCTCTGCCTCTTTGTATTTTAAAATATAGAATAAGCTGTCTTACTTATCAATTTTATCACTTATATACTATAAATATGCCACTTAAAAGTTATACTGACAATGGAGCTAACCTTTTTTTGTCTTTTATTGGCCTTATAAATAAAAGCACATCATTGAAAGAATGCCACAGAGAGTGGGTTAGACTTGAGCCTAGGGGAAAATCTTCCCAAGCATCAGGAAAAGGGTAATTCCGACCAGTCCTCTATAAAAACCCAAATTTCTTACAAAATCTTAAAGCGCAAGTGTTTACAGGACTCTTGGTGACAAGAAAAGCAATAGAAAATGTGCATTGGCACTAAAATTCATGTATCCATGGAAACGTGTGAAGCTCCTGAGCGCATGCGCTCACAGCCTACGGTATTAATGCTTGGGCTGAGGGGGATCAGCGTGTTACTGCACTATGGAGGACTGAGAGATTGCTGAGAAGCCACTCACACAGGCCTGGACCAGCTTGTTTTCCTCTGCTAGATTTAATTATGGGGACGTACAGAGTCCGCAGACATCAGTGAGGAAAAAAAAAATCCATGCTTGTTTACATGTACTTATATCCTGGAATACACTGTACTTGACTCTGAGTTTTAATCAGAAAACGTTTGATGAGCCAGCACCCCCCTCCCCCCACACATCTGTGGCTACCTCAGAGCCTCTCGAAAGTTTTCCATGGGAACAGATGAGCCCATTTCTTGCGTGATGGAAGAAAATGTCACGAATTTTACTACACTGATTATTCGGGGTGATTTAAATATGATCCTGGCCAGTGATTCCTGTAAGTCACTCTCAAAGAAAACTGCATAGAAATATCAGAGGGAAGGGAGGTCAGAGGGACCACCTGCAGAAAACAGAAGTGGTTACAGAATAGGACCAAGCTTCTCATGAAATAAAATGGAACTGCTCACAAAAGCCTAGTTACATAGCGATATATTTTTTTCCCCCACTTTCTCTTCTATTGCCAAGTTCTGGATTCTTTTCCAATAACTTCGAGATGATTGACACGTGGAAATAGAGATAAAATTGTTAGTGGGTCTTTAAAATACTGTGTTTTCTCCTCTCTGGAACTTGTTTTCACACTCAGTCTTCTGATGGAGCACTACCCGGTGTGGTGGCCTTTGGTCACACACTGTACCTCAGATGTGGCTGGTGCATGTGTGGCCTGATATTGAGTGTGGTGGATTAACAAGAGCGTACCACTGGCTATGGTTTGGGTAGGAAGTGCCCCCTATTGGCTTATGTGGTGAGGGCTTGCTACCCAGCTGTGACACTATTTTAAGAGGTGATGGAAACTTTGGGAGGTGGGGGCTGGCTGGGGGGAGTGGGCTTTTAAGTGGTCCTTAGAGGCTGGTCCGTGTCTCCACCCTTTCCTGTCTCGTTTCTAACCTCCATGAGGGAGCAGTTGCTCTACCTGCCCCATGGCCACGGTACGCTACTCTGTCACTGGGCCAGAGACAACAGAGCTGGAAACCATGGTAAACTGAAACCTCTCTCGAACTTGAAGCCAAAACATATCTCCCCCACCCCCCTTTTAAACTGTCTTGCTCTGTGTGTTGGTTAGTTTTATATTAACTGGGCACAAGCTAGAGTCCTCTGGCAAGAGGGACTCTCAACTGGGAAAAATGCTTCCCTAAGATTTGCCTGGAAGCCGGTCTGTAGTGTACTCTATTGACTAATGATTGCGGTGGGCGGGTCCAGCTCACTGGGGATGGTGCCATCTCTGGCCTGGTGCTCCTGGGTGCTGTAGGAGAGCAGGCTGAGCAAGCCATGAGGAGCAAGCCAGTAAGCAGCACCCCTCTATGGTCTCTGCATCAGCTCCTGCCCTGTTGGAGTTCCTGCCTTTACTTCCTTCAGCAGCGATAGGCTGTGATATGGACCTATATGCTGAAATAAGGTTTTTTTTTCTTCCCACACTGTTTTTTTTTTTTTTTTTTTTTGTGGTGGCATTTATCACAGTAATGGAAACTCTGATGAAGACACACATATATTTGTCATAGCGCTGACACTCACACTGCACTCAAACCTGTTTAAAATGTTTCCATAGCTTGGTGAAGTATTTAAGTCTTTATGGAACTGGCATTGTGTAGCTGTTGTGCGACTCCGTTGTGATGAAACTGCCCCCAGCTTTCAAAGATTTATTTGTGGTTATTTTTCAATATGGAGTGCACACAGTCTACACAATCTTGCAGCTGACTTGTTGTATTTTTCCCCA